ATTTTTTAATTTACCTATTCAAACCATATCATTATGATTTGCTTTTATATATAAATCAGATATAACCAATTTAAAATGGAAAATTTTAAAGAAAAAAAAGGAAAAAAAAAATCCCCCCAAATTTTTTGAACCCCCTTATGATTTATCACCCCCAAACTCAATCCCAGCCTTCCCTTTGTGGTATGGTACCTTGCAGTACAATTTCAGAGAGATCCGTACACTTGAACACAAGTTATTGTCTGGAAACTAGAAAAATGCTTGTTATTTTGCACCCTTTTTTGCCCCAAATTCCTAAACGTTTAGGGCAATTACCCCCAAACTCAAACCCAGCTTTCCCTTTGTGATATGGAACCTTGCAGTACAATTTCATAAAGATCCATACACTTACACACAAGTTATTGTCCTGAAACTAGAAAAATGCTTGTTTTTTTTTTGCCCCTTTTTTGCCCCAAATTCCTAAACGTTTAGGGCAATTACCCCCAAACTCAAACCCAGCTTTCCCTTTGTGATATGGAACCTTGCAGTACAATTTCATAAAGATCCATACACTTACACACAAGTTATTGTCCTGAAACTAGAAAAATGCTTGTTTTTTTGCCCCTTTATGGCCCCTATTTCCTGAAATTTTGAGGGAATTACCCCCAAAATCAATCCCAGCCTTCCCTTTGTGGTATGGTACCTTGCAGTACAATTTCAGAGAGATCCATACACTTGAACACAAGTTATTGTCTGGAAACTAGAAAAATGCTTATTTTTGACCCTTTTTTCCTAAACATTTTGGGCAATTACCCCCAAACTCAATTCCAGCTTTCCCTTTGTGATATGGAACCTTGTAGTACAATTTCATAAAGATCCATACACTTACACACAAGTTATTGTCATGAAACTAGAAAAATACTTGTTTTTTGCCCCTTTTTGGCCCCTAATTCCTAAAATTTGGAGGCAATTACCCCAAAAATCAATCCAAGCATTCCCTTTGTGATATGGAACCTTGTGGTACAATGTCAGAGAGATCGATACACTTACACACAAGTTTTTGTCATGAAACTAGAAAAATGCTTGTTTTTTGCCCCTAATTCCTAAAATTTGGAGGCAATTACCCCAAAAATCAATCCCAGAATTCCCTTTGTGATATGGAACCTTGTGGTACAATGCCAGAGAGATCCATACACTTACACACAAGTTATTGTCATGTGACTAGAAAAATGCTTGTTTTTTGCCCCTTTTTGGCCCCTAATTCCTAAAATTTGGAGGCAATTACCCCCAAAATCAATCCCAGCATTCCCTTTGTGATATGGAACCTTGTGGTACAATGTCAGAGAGATCCATACACTAACACACAAGTTATGTCTGGAAGTTACAAAAATGCTTATTTTTGGCCACTTTTTGGCCCCTAATTCCTTTACTTTTGGTACCATAACCCCCAAAATCAATCCCAACCTTCCTTTTGTGGTATTGAACCTTATGGTAAAATGTCATAGAGATCCATTCACTTAAACTAAAGTTAGAGTGCGAAAACCAATGTGTCTTCGGACGACGACAACGACGACGCCAACGTCATACCAATATACGACCACAAAAATTTGTTTGCGGTCGTATAAAAACGCGAATATAATTGTCCTGTGACTCCTGTCCCCAAGTACTTATGAAAATTATGTGTAATTTTAAAACAGTCCTAAACGGAAGTCTTGTCTATGACTTTAAAGTCTGTCCGATGGCGGAAATAATATCCGGACGCCTTTATTTTCGTTTTCCTCCCAAAATAACCCAAACTGAATAATCATAAGCCAGGATGACAAATGCGACTATGCATGGTACCTATAGGACACAGAGGCGTGATGATTAATTTATTGTGGAAGGAAGAGAAGCGACACACAAAATGAGGTCTTCTCATTTAATATTAGGGAGCTACCATTTGATTTTTATGGGGGGGCTAGGATGAAAAATTTTGTCCTGCATTTTTTTTTAGTTGTAATCTCTGTCCTGCCTTTTTATTTTTCATTCTATTCGGTCCTGCCTTTTTTTTTTTTAGTTTATCCTGACTTTTTTTTACATAAATTGTCATCCTGCCTTTTTTTTTACTCAAAACTCCTGTCCTGCCAATTTTTTTCAAATTTCATCCTAGCTGTATATCACACATATATGTACATGTAGCATGAGCACATGTGTAACTGTTCTTAAAAAGAGGGATATTTTCAAAGTGAATCATTTCAATTCAAATGGCAATTAAATCTTAATGAACAATACTTCTACATTTAGTTTTAAAATAAAGTTGTTAAAATTTTTATTCTATTTTATTGACTTATTATCGTAGCTCATAAATATGTGCCATTTCAACTATAATGTAATTTTTTTGCACTTGAAAAATATCCCAACCCCTAATTTGAGGTATAGTGGCCCGCTGCAGGTTCAGCAAATTTAAAATTCAAGCTTTCATATCCAAATGATTTATACAAATTATCTCCCTTGGACAAATCTTCTTTGTTGCTACAGTGAAACTCCTGCTAAATATTTATAGGAACATAACAAATGAACACAGCTCAATATTTTCATGCAAAAAGTGTTTGTATAATTTTTTCATACAAAAGGCAAATAAACAGATGTGCCAGGAGCTCAGGAAATACCTTTCCTATGTACATTGGAATTGTTGTGAGGATAAAATGGAAAGCTGTGGTCTTAAAATCAGAAGTAAACTGCCGAAAAGCTTGCAGCCAGCCCTTAGATGTATAAAAATTACATGGAATGCGATGTCTAATAACTCATGATATTTTCAAAAATGAAAAGAAATTCACTTTAACCGTTCATGCAAGTAATACTCAAACTAGAGTGGGACATGTGCAAAATAGTCTTTAATGTGCGGGTAAAAGTCCCACAACTAAGGAAAGACCATCAAAACTTTTGCAAAACCAAAAGGTAGCTTTAATACTTTTACTTAATCATGTTAATTTGTATCCCAACAATTGTGTCAAGTATAATGTAAATCAAACTGGTGTAGATCTAGAGACTCCACAGAATAACAGATGGAAAAATTTCCAAAATCAGACGGGAACTTTCTTCCACAAATTTCAATATTCCATAAAAGTTACATATGCTCTTGTACTACGTTGGAGAGACAGAGGGACAGACAGACCATAATATGTCCCTTCTATTATTACTTTCAGCTGTACATGTACTTCTTATAACAAAAGTCTTAGACTGTATAATGTACTAGAATTTATGAGAAGCAGAAATTTCAAAGGGAGATCATTTTTAATAGCTTAAATGAGATAAATTAGCCCTTTCTTCAAAAATTTCATTTAGCATTCTGCTTAACAGGGAATTTTGAAATACCAACTTGTTTCTGGTTAACATGGTTAAAGCATCATATCCCTAACACAATCTATAAGAAAATCTTATCAACTACCATCACATTCAAGCAATATAGCACCACATTACCATCATGCTAAAAGGTCCAAGAGAGAACAATACACGTAGTTACCAGTTTGGTGTGGTCTGCCTTATTTCAAAGAATTTTTTGCCTAATTGGTTAAACCAAATATATGTGTACAACTAACACAAATTATGAGATAACTTTGTCCAAGCCTGCTCTTTGTTGAATGTTGATGTTTACCAATAGTTGTTGTTATTCAATGCTTTATTGATATGCTTCAAAGAATTTTTATGTCCCAACTGCAGTCTGGCCAACACTAGTTATTGACTGTTTTCTTGCCAACTTTCATTATTTTCATAACGTGCCATGGCCCATCTTTAACAGGTTGGGACCAATCATCCAATTGGGATATTATAACCTGTTTAGGATATAGTATCCAAAATCATCCAAATAAGATGTTATTTTTCTGTACTCCCAAAATGGAGGACTTTTGGCACAGTGAATTATTATCCTATTTGTAATATAAACCAAACCGGTTATAATATTCATTTCTAAACATTTTTCATAACATTTAATTTGATTGGATAATGTAAAATACTTGACTGATAGTCTGAAATTTTGCCCACTTGCGCGGAGGCCGATGAAACTAATTATAAAAATATCAGATTTAGCTCTGTTTTTATTTTATTTAAAGATTTGCGTGCATCAATTTTGATTTGAAGGTTGCAATAGACTTTTAACCTATTACTGACTTTTGACTCCAGAGTACATGTATATAACCTTTTTGACAGGTTACCTACTCGTTGGTAGGACATTCTGATACTCGGTCAAGTTAGAACAACTAAAAGACGTTGAATCAAGCTACAATGTAGCTGTCTAATTGGCAATCATATGTACCACATCTACATGTATCAAAGTTTTATATTTACAATCTGTGCAATTTTGGGAAAAAATTACAGTTTTCAGATGATTTTGTCATGCATAGACAACACAACACAGTTATATTTTCCCCCAAATTGCACTAATTGAAAGCTAGATTTTACCTCTTTAACTTGCTCTGACTTGACTGAGTTCTAGCTAGGTTGTCCTATTACAAAGTACTCAAGGTAACTTGTAAAAAAATTATATACTCTGGGCAAAAGTTGGTTATATAAAAATAGTCTAATATTCACCTGCAAGGTCCACTAACGCATATCCAGTAAATTCAATTTGCAACGATCAAATCATAAATTGATGCCCATAAATTTTCAAGAGAATATGTCATTTATATCTGGCTGATTTGTCCTAATCTCTGGAACTTACTGGGAGGTGTGAGCTTTTCTCTATATTGAAGGCTTCACTGTGTCTTTCAGATGAAGAACAGCAATTAAAGCTCTGTTCCTTTTTCTTAGGGTTTTGTGTCATAAAATAGTACATTTTTTTCTCATATTTTATTGAGTTTTATGGTTACTAAAGAATAAATAATATTTGTTGATATGTTTGTTTGTAAACATTTTCCATATACTATTTCAGTACTGATCAATATCAGACATGCATGTCATGGCCGACTCACCTGTCAAATATGACAATAATTAACACAGCATCCATCACCTGTTGCTTAGACACGTGTTTTATGTTTATTTCAACTTACCGATTAATCTATAATTCACTTTTAATTAACGGTTGAAGTAATTAACCTTAATTCTTTTTCACATTTTCATTGAGCAAGAGTTACACATTCGGCACACCCATTCACATTGAGAAAACCTGTCGAAGATCTAAACCGGGTGACGTCACAGGGTTTTGTTTTCTCTCACCTGGTGGTGTTTCCCAAATATATTGCACGTAATGTTAATTTTCTTAGTCTTTGGTCAATTGCATTTTGTTATGGATAGGGTAAATAAGTTTTTCATCTTGTAATGTTTACTTTATATTCTTTTTACCTGCATAAAATCACCTGTAAAGTTGCCATGACGTCATGCAATGAAAAACCGGAAGCCTGTTTTTTATAGATTGTGTTAATATCGTTCAAAGGGAATTAACTCAAGTTAATTTTGTGTGTACTGAAAAACTATTGAGTGATAAAAAAAATCTCTCCAATATGCAGGTAATTTTATCCGCACTTATACTCATTCGTATTAGTCTTTCTATTAATAAATACAAGATACAAGATATTCTATATGTTGTTTTTTTTTTGTGTTATTTAAAACCATAACTGACTAATCAATGCGAAAGTTGAAGGTTTGTATTTTTTTACTTATTTTTTATAATAATTATTTTGTCATATTAATTGAAATGCCCTCTTTGTGCCCTATAATATATTTTTGTATTCTAATATGCCAAATAAATAGAAGTTCACACAGGAGTCTGTATTTTCTTTACCATTGTATTAGAGATATTTACATGTAAAAATGCTTCAAGTAGGAATTAAGAGTTGGTCCTGTCAACATTTTTACCTTTATGACATCAATATTTTACTATATAATTAAAACAAGGTATATAATAGGTAGATTACCTAATGATTCTCCTCTGCATCCATCATTTGAGAATTTAGCTCTTACACCTATTACATATCTAAAAAATCTAGTGCACGGTGAAGTTTTTCTAAGACAAGCGAATCAGTCTCTTTAGAAATACATATTTCTACATTATTTACAAATTAACTTGGAGGGAAATAGCCCCATATCTCAGAACCATATAATGAACTTGGTTTAATTGTGCGGTAAAAATATGTTACATAACTTTTGCATTTGGAGTGACATTATTGAATGATTTTCTAAGTTTAAATGATGCTTTGAAACCTTTTGTAAAAATATTCTTTAGTTGCAGAAAAACTTCCAAAAACAGTTACCAAAGACTTATAAAAACATTGTAGTTTTTTGTCTCTGATATAACAGTTTGTTATCTATTTCAAATATCCCATTGAGAAACTTTACGGTTCCCAGCTTTTTATATCAAGCACTATTTTAGTAGCACCTGTTTCACTCGTTGTGGTCCAAAAATAGTATTTGCTCTTTTACAGCCACGAACCTCTCAATATTCGTTGAATTTCATTAATCACCCAATGTTTAAATAGCACTGAGTCCATCCAACTGTCCATTCGAAAGCCATTCAAGGATTTAAATAGTACAATATTAAAAAATATCATTGTGCCACTGAATAAAAGGAAATGCTTATCACGTTTCGAGAAAATGGAGTTCAACACTAGTTTTTTTGTGGAGTTCGGTGTTGCTCAAAATTTCTTTTTATAATCAATGTTTTGATGGCGACTGTTTAATTTTTATTTTCGTCTTTTTCTTTTAACCGTAAATGGGTCTAATACATTTATATATTGATCCCAAACCGTACAACATAGTCAAGGATAGTCATAGTATTTATAATATCTAATATTTTAACTTATTTACCATTTTTTATGTGTACTTGTTCCTTTCCACAACAGCAAGTACAAGTCAAATTAGCGAAATAAGTTGAAATATTAAAAATCACAAAAGCAAAAAGAGGGGGGTGTCCTTATCAAAGAACATGTGGTCTTCACAGGCTGAATGTATACATATTAACAACACTCTGTTTGGTATATCTTTCTTTGAATTCGTTCAATAACAAGAGTTTGAAATTCTCCAGTTAGGACTTATTGTAAGTATGACTGAGGCGCGGATTTAGCAACAATAATTTGTACTTAAGGAGCTCCTGAAATAATCTCAGGGTTTTCATACAAACAGGTTCCTTTTGGAAATTTTAAGAGATATAACGCAGTTCTTTTGCCGCGAGTGAAAGTTCCTGATGGTATTATATAGAAATAAGAAGATGTGTTATAAGTGCCAATGAGACAACTCTCCATCCAAGTCACAATGTGTAAAAAGTAAACAATTATAGGTCAAAGTACGGCCTTTAACACGGAGTCTTGGCTCACACCGAACAGCAAGCTATAAAGGGCCCCAATTATACTGCATTTCTTCTCCATTGTTTCCTCGGTGTGGTCACAAAGCTCGTTTTTGAACTGATTCAACATCATTTTGATTGAGTCAAAAATTTCCACAGTAAAATACATGATTATTCTTTGAATATTGACATATGATATCAGTGTTCTTATACTATGACAACGTCAATTTGTAAATTACATTGATATGTATAAGAAGACGTAAACGGACAACGATTCATTAGAAAGACTACAATATAGAGCTATACGTACTTTTCTTGGTGTAAGTCTTACAACGCCGATACCCACAATCACAGGCGATATGGGATGGTATCCGATTCATCATAGAATTCAAGTCAATATTGTGCGTCTTTATTGTAGACTAGTTAAATTACCTGACACTAGAATATGTCGTAAAGTTTTCTTGTGGGATCAAAATATGTCTACCAGATATCGTGATACGTGGTTCAATCACGCAAAGAAACTGTTTGATTCATGCGGACTCAACGATGTACTTTGTCTAGAGAACCAACACATTGTAACGCCATTCTTAGTCGATTCTGTGAAAACGCATTTAGAAGACGAACATAAACAATCTTGGTTAGACAATATTCAGCAAATGCCTAAACTGAGAACGTACAAACATTTTAAAACAGAACTTGCAACAGAAACTTTTCTAAAACGTTGCTTAACTAGAAGTCAGCGATCCTCTATTTCACGAATGCGTTGTGGGACATTTCCTTTAGAAATCGAAAAAGGACGAAGTAGAAACATTCCAGTAGAACGGAGAACTTATAAAATGTGCGATACAAACTCCGTTGAGGACGAAATACACTTTTTGATCCACTGTCCAAATTATACAGAGAAAAGAAACAAACTGTTTGAAAATATTTGTGTAACATTCCGTGATATATCTGGTCTTTCTGACATTGATAAATTGTGTGAGCTTCTTTCTAACCACAAACTTAGCAAACTCGTGGCAAATTTTATAGCAGACTGTTATCATGTCAGCTCTTTAACACTATGATCACTTGATTTGAAATTATTTATCTTATCTTTTTTGCAATTCGCTTATATATATATAATTTCATTTTATAATATATAAAAATGTTTTTCTGTTACAAATCATGATGTATTGTTTTATGTGTACATGTTATGCTGCCCATCAAGGGCCCTTGATTGGAATAATAAATATTCTTAAAAATATTCTTATAACATAACACTAAGTTTTATGAACAATGATAAAGTCTCTTAATTGTATGTATGTTAAATAACGATTTAAACAGTGCATCATAAGCCTATTTGGCTGGTTGAAGTTTTATATTATGTATTTAATGTAACGACATACTTTATATTCAGGTTGCACTATAATAAACAATTTGTCTTCTTCTTCTTCTTCTATAAGAAGATGTGGTATGAGTGCCAATGAGACAACTCTCCATCCAAGTCAAAATTTATAAAAGTAAACCAATATAGGTCAAAGTACGGTCTTCAACACGGAGCCTTGGCTCACACCGAACAGTAAGCTATAAATAAAGGGCCCCAAAAATTACTAGTGTAAAACCATTCAAACGGGAAAACCAACGGTCTAATCTATATAAAAAACGAGAAACGAGAAACACTTATGAACCACACCAACAAACGACAACTGTATGTATCTTGTCAACATATTTTATAGGAGTAACACGGCGGATGTCACATGTGCAGCAAAATCTTTTATCCCTTCCGGAGCCGCCGTGACCTGAAATCACCCGCGGTTTTCTTTAGTCGTCTATAATGTGATTTGTATACTGTTGTTTGTCTTTTTTTTCTCCGGTTTTTCCGTTTGTCGTCGAAATTGAATATCTCTTAGGTTGGGTATATCTTCCGCCTCTACTTTAAAGCATCAACATACTTCCATTTTAGTACGATAGATAGGACAGTTGGTTGGATGCTACAGTTTGACATGCCTTCATAAAAACACGTATTTTCAGTGGCATGTTGACTTACTACAATTGCTTCACTAAATATGCTTCAGTATGGAAAATTTCTAATGATTTCAGGAAAAATATTTCAATGAGTTAGTGCACTGTGTGTGTAAAGGAAGCCGCGATATATTTGACACAGTATTTTTATTTTAAACAAGCTTCTTCTGTATTCATTATTTCATATTCGATCAGATTCATCTAGTATTTTCAAAAGGCGGCGGAATGCCCGCCAACAAATAAAGGGGACAGTCAAAATTGATAAAAATATACTTAACATACATTTTTGCACCACCTCTTTAAATCACCCCTGGTATTTGACTAAATATATATGTAGCCATTTACATAATGCGACATCGGATACACTTCTCTTTCCCTATTACATGACTAAGATATTTAGAATATGTTAAAGTAAATGAGACAGCAGACCAGCAATACAAATAAACCAGAAAAAAAGACTATAATTAATGAATTATTATTATTATAAATCAAATTACAACTTTAATTTTAAATGTTATAAATGAACAAAAATCGAATGTTTCAATCTTAAATTCTCCATCTTTTAACAACGATAAGATAAATGACAGCACGTAAACAATTGCTTGCACTGAAAAAAATAGTCTTAGTGTAAATTTTTCCAGCTTGAAAATACAAAAAAATATGTTATGCCGGTAGTTATGAGTTAAGTCAAATCTTGAATTTTGTTTTAGATCACAATTTGTGTTCTATGGACGACATCAAGCGAAACCTTAGTTTTTTGTAGACAATTCTGATTGAAACGAATGACTTTATTTAGCAGTAAAACAACTTAATTAAATTTAAGATGCTGACTCCCTTCTATTCAAAATCGAAATAAAATGCGTTTGTAAAACTAACTTAGTTAATCATCAATATGGTCCAAACTGCTCCCATAACAAATGACTTATTCGATATCAAATAAAACGAACACACTTCCGGATCCATTAAGCGTATTCCTCAAATTTAAATAAATATACTGTAAAAGCAGGAACATGCATGGACTGTGCGTATTGCTGTGTGTTTGTTTATTCTACATTGGCTAGAGGTATAGGGGGAGTGTTAAGATCTTACAAAACATGTTTAACCCCGCCGCATTTTGCGCCTATCCCAAATCAGGAGCCTCTGGCCTTTGTTAGTCTTAATTGTATGTTTTTTAATCTTAGTTCATTTATATGTTTTGGAGTTTAGTATGACGTCCATTTTCACTGAACTAGTACACATTATTATTTAGGGGCCAGCTGAAGTCCGCCACCGGGTGCGGGGTTTTCTCGCTGTGTTGAAGACCCATTAGTGGCCTCCGGTTATTTTCTGCTCTGGTCGGGTTGTTGTCTCTTTGACATATTCCCCATTTCCATTTTCAATTTTATGGAGTATTGATCCTCGACACCAAATCTCTACACCCGCTTGGCAATGCCAAAAGCAAAGAAACAGTGCGTTTATTTCTGTTCTATATTGGAATGACACTTTGAGGCCTTCAAAGTTTCAAATATATGTACAACTTTTCAATTTATTCGCAAAAAAAATCAATAACGACAATAAATGAATCAAGTTTTAACTCTTGAAATCTCGGAAGTTTTTGGCAACTGGAAACCGATATTTTACTTCGCTTTTCGAATTACAACAATTAGATTGTTTTACATTATTTAGTATAATTTATTTCTTATTATTGAAAATCTTAAATTGAAAGCGTTAACATTCAACAATTATCATAAATCATAATACTTTCAATTTGTGAACATTTCTTTCTATATATATAACATAATTTCAGGCATTTTGAAGCGTTAACATTCAGCAATTATCATAAATCATAATGCTTTCAATTTGTGAACATTTCATTCTATATATATAACATAATTTCAGGCATTTTGTAAAATGACTGAAAAAATAGTCATTATATAAAGTTCCTGAATCTTACAGGCATTTTAGAAAATGCCTTGAGTTTTCAGGCATTGTACAAAATGACTAAGAAAATGCCTGCAACATATAACAGACGTAAGCAGCATTCCATACTAACTTGGAAACAGGGAGACTATATATAGCAACTTGTTTATCCAATGCTACAAACAAAAGAAGGACTAGAAAGCTTAATATGTTCTATTTCATACTTGATGGAACTGCCCCTGGTTACCTGATTTGCAAAATGGTAATAATTATATGTATAGTACCTAATATAATTAGACATTAATTAATAGATTAATACAAGCATATCTGTTTTCCCCTGTACTACTGTTGAACGGAATTGCCCTAAATTCCGACATACTGACTTCTCAAAAAACAAATATATTCGAAAGAAATATAACAACCTACTTAACACACCCACCTCTTATATTAGTTGACTGGATAAAAAAAAATAAAGATCATCAACACGCGATTGCGAAATAAATGCAGGTCTGTAACAGTTTGATATCAAGCCTCATATAGAAAGCAGCTGTGGCCATCCTGTTGAAGATTGTATACAATATTTTCCAGTACCGTTTCCGCAATAAAGCAAGAGAAATTATATTTTTAACACTAAAAAGATATTCTATAGCCATTGCAGCCACTATTGGCTGGTGACGGAGACATTACATTTGAGCAAAATATTTGTTTTTTCTACACAATCATTTATTTCAGGAGAAACCAAAGATTCAGACCATAAAACTTGCACTTAACTTCTCATTCACCCACCATACTCAGGCGCGGATCAAGCAATTTGAAAAGGGGCGTTTCAACCCCCGGAACACCATAAAACGTTCACATAATTAAAAACAAAAAACAAAATCAAATAAAAAAGTCGAAAAAAGGGAGGGGTTGTAACTCTCGGATCCGCCTATGCCACTTCAGTCTAGTATAATTCATATTATATCGTACTTATTTCGTTGTAACTTGTTTTTGTAGTACACACATTACCATCATGATTTCGTCATTAGAAGAAACAACATCTTTTTTAATTATGGCACTCTATGACGAACTTCATATCCACGGATATTGCTCTCTCCCCTTATATTGTATGATATTGCTCTCTCCCCTTATATTGTATGATTTTGCATACGACATCTGTAAATAATGTTTTAAAAGTAATCTCAGCTTAATAATAATAATAATACTTTATTTCCGAAGCAAATACAGCTTATTGGATTTACATAATATAATAATATCCAATCTGAGACAATATACAGCATAATATAACATTTATACACAAATCATACAAATTAATGAAAGAATGAAGCGGAGCATGACATATAGACATATTCAATTATCAAAAAAAATTGAATAATTAACCATTACGTGCCTTTTCTGCAGAATATAAATATTTTCCCAAGTTGTTTAGCTCTTTGATATTTCTCACAGTTGAACTAATCTAAAAGTCGATTGTTTAACATAGTAATAACACTTGATATATTTACTTCTGATATCGTTATATTTATCACATTCTAAAATAAAATGATACTCATCTTCAATAGCATTTTTATTACACATACTACACAAAAGTTCATTTCTGGCTATACCATAATATCTGCCTGTTTCTATACACAGTGCATGAGCATTTATTCTATATTTAATAATAAAAGATTTATACAAACTGTTTAATGGACGACTAAGGTAAAATTGCATAGTGTAGTCATCGTGTAGATACTGATACAAAGTACATTTAGGCGAATTTTTCAAAATATGTAATTATCTATAACTCTTTGTTTAAATTCACTCAAAAATAATTGTCTGTTTTAAAATTTAACACTCTGTGAAAACAAACATCACTAAAACCATATTCACATAATATATTTCGTACTTTACAGGACCAATTAAGCTTGTCATTTGGCTTTACACAACTAGATTCGTACATATCTTTATATACATTCTTTAAAATACAGTTTTCTGTTTCTAACAGTCTCAACCAGTAGCTGACTGTTTTAAAGTTACATACAACGGCAATCTGCCCAACTTAAAACATACTATGTGATTAACAGTTCCTTTTCTAACTTTTAAAATTCTTTTCATATAATATAAATGTAATTTTTCTATATCTTCGGCTTTATGAAAGCCCAGACTTCACTGGCATAATTCATAATACTTATAAAATAAGTATCAAATAAAGATACTAAAGTTTCTATATTAAAACATTCATACATTCTGACTTCATATGGCTCAATACACTGTTTAATTAATTCTATTTCTATATCATTTACGTAAAGATAAGATATGATAAGATAACTTTATATTAGCACTAACATATCAACAAACAAAATACAGACAAACTACAATAACATATGTAGAAAGAAGGAGTGACAGTGATAAGTACGAGAAAAATCTAGTACCTTTTGACAATGAGTTTCTCACCGACAAGCATTCATTCAAATAGTTCACAATAATTTTGATACTGCTGGGGAATTACTATTTAGAATTGATATAAGCAAGTTTTATGATAAAGAAAGTAATTTATTGTTCACTAGATCATTATCTAACTTTTTTATGAAGTTATCCCTCAAATATTTATAGGAATAACATTTTAAAAGAAAATGTTGTTCATCTTCAATGTCCCCATTGTTGCAGCAAAGACATATCCTACTCTGCTTCAGTATATTTTTAAAAATATCCCCCTCTTTCAACAGACAAAGTATGAGCACTTATCCTTAACTTACATAATGTAGATCTATCACATTTGGATTTGCATTGATCAACATATGAGGGTCTTGTATTTGGTTTATATAGTATTAAAGAAGTTTATTTTTTTATCTTGATTGATGTCAGTCTCTTGCTTTTTAAAGGCTGTATCTTTGATTCTCTCTTGAATGTGTTTTAAATAAATTTTAATAACAAAAGGCTTTAGATTAATAAAATGAAATCCAAGTTTTGAAATAAGATTTTAGAATAAACATCTATGTCCTCTAAACCAGAGACAGATACAAGAGATTCACAACTCTAGCAGAATCTAATTATTATATGATCTTATATGTCTGTCTATTTATGAACGGAGCAAAGTGAAAGGGAAATATCTGATTTTAAGATTGAACCCTTCTCGACCCTCGATCTTTTTCTTTCCACGCATCAAGGGAGATAATTAATGGGAATAATGTAAACAAATCGTGACCGGAAGAATGTAATTTCAACACGAATAAGAAATAAGACGATCATAACCAAAAATAAACAATTATTTTCAAATATACATTAACAAGATATTTATTATATTACAATACATTTTATAAATCTTCCAAAGTGAAACAAAAACTTAAATATAATGACTGTTGGATGGGAAACTTTAGATGTTGGAGAACAGGTGAGCTTGCAGTTATACTATTTTTATTTTAAACACATTACAGTACAATTTTTATTAAGCAAAGCTCTAGGACTAATATATGTTAGTGTAATAGTCCCAGTCAAGATACAGTAAATGAGCTATGTCAGATTTTTGTAAAATTTTGCTGACATCTTTCAAATTGGCTCATTAAACTATGAAATAATGCATCTATCTTTTTTTTGAAATATTACTGAAGTATTTCAAAAAAGTTGATACACATTTGTATAGGAAACACATAAAATGAGCGAAAAACTTTATTAAATTTGTCTTAAAATTAATTTGATACATTTACAAATGTACATTTCTGTTTAAATGAAGTAAAATTTATATAATCATAGGGTTACAGACTTTAAAGTCTTCATGGTCATGATCGACAGTACAAATTAAATCATACAATGTGGTGTTTTCGGTGAAAAATACAAAAAAAAACTGTAGAAATAAGCATACTATAAAATATTTTTTATGTATCTATCAACTTCTTTATTCTTCCCTCCACTATCTTGATTACCACTACTTTCGTAGCATAGTACTGGTAAGCAACTGTACTGTTAGCAAACTAGGTAACATAAATTGGATAATACACCAAAAGCCAAGTTTGTGACCTTATGATTAATTTACATCATTTAAACAGATATTTATGTATCAACAACACTTACATTTATTTTTTTTTGGCCATTGGTATGTGCTCTCCATAAAAATTTGCGTTTTTATGCCCCCGCAGTAGTGGAGGGGGCATTAAGTTTTAACCTTGTCTGTCTGTACGTCCGTACGTCCCAAAGTTGGTTTCCGTTCTCTAACTTTAGTTTGCCTCAACCAAATGTTATGAAACTTATACACAATGCTTATTACCACTAAATACAGATCAACTTTGAATTTTGGTGGTGTCACTTTTACCGTTCTACTAGAGTTATGCCCCTTTACAAATGGAAAAATTGCTAAATTTTTCGTTTCCGTTCTCTAACTTAAGTTTGCCTCAACCAAATGTTATGAAACTTATACACAATGCTTATTACCACAATATACAGATCAAGTGTGAATTTTGGTGCCCTCACTTTTACTTTAACTTGAGTTTGTCTAAACTAAATGTAATTTCTAAAAATATCAATGTCATTATTCAAGTAATTTCTAGAATTGGAGTTATCTTCCTTTGTCCATGATTATAGTTGAATCAACTACAATCAATTAATGCTTTATACAATGCAATGTTTAATTTTGCCTTCCACTGATAAAACACAGATCAAGTTGAATTTGGGAAGTGTCACTTTAACCATTATTGAGTAATGCCCCTTTATCATGATCATGTTTATAAATCGAAAGATTGCAAAATTTTTAGTTTCCATTCTGTAACTTAAGTTTGCCCCAACCAAACATTATGAAACCTATACACAATATTCATTACCTCCAAACTAAGATAATGTACAATTTTTTTGTTTCCGTTCTCTAACTTTAGTTTGCCTCAACCAAATGTTATGAAACTTATACACAATGCTTATTACTACATAATACAGATTAAGTACGAAATTTGGTGGCGTCACTTTTACCATTCTTGAGTTATGTCCCTTTATAAACATAAAAATTGCTGAATTTTTCATTTCCGTTCTCTAACTCTAGTTTGTCTCAACCAAATGTTATAAAACTTATACACAACCGTTCTAGAGTTATGCGTGTTTACAAATAGAAAAATTGCTGAATTTTTAGTTTCTGTTCTCTACTTATAAGTTAGCCTCAACCAAATTTTATGAGACTTACACACAATGCTTATTACTACAAAACTCAGATCAAGGTCAAATTTGCGTAGCGTCACTTTTACCGTTCTTCAGTTATGTCCCTTTATAACTATATGATATGCAAGTGGGGGCATCATCTGTGTCCACATGTGGACACTATCCACATTTATTTGTAAAAAAATTAATTCAGTCATATATCTATTTCAGAAAATAAAACGGATAAATGCACTATTTTTTTCTTTTTTCAGTTATAGTTCAAAGAGCCAAAGTTGTATAAAAAAAATTACCATAATCTGTGACTTATCCCATTTACTGTACTTTGAGCTTAAAAGAGGACAAAAGTTTGGACCAGTCAAGGATTTAGCATTACCATCTAAATCCTTGGACTAATCACCCAACTCAGATATTATGATCTGTTTGATATATAAATTAACAGTGCAAACAATCTATTTTTGATTTCAGATAGAATATTCAAAAGCCATGTCAAGCTGTTGAGGAATTTGTTCACTATTTTTTCATATTTAAAAGTCATTTATTTTAATTGAAAATCATTGATTGATACAAGCATTTGTATAGTAAGAATATAATATATTTAGAGTCCTGGTGTTATAGGTTCATCTGTTCTTGATAGTAATCATATTTTGATTTCCGTGAAGGAAAAATTAACTTCTGCAATTTTGATTGAGAAGTCAGGCACATACATGTACACCATGTTATGTTGGAATTAGAACATGGTAAACAAAGCAAAAGGAGAGCTCACAAACAAAGCATTGGTTATAAAATTTGAAACAGGAAAAATCTCAAAAATGGATCATTACTTTTAAAATGCCCTTATGTTGAAAAGCATGCATTAGAAAACGTGATTGATTGATTGTTGTTTGCTTAATGTCCAGTGGCAAATATATGATGCATTTTCAGAAGAATAGCAAATTGATAATAAATTCAATGTGCAGGTTCTGTAAAGTAGATCAATTGATATGAAGGGCAAGAATTTCAACTGCCATTTGAAAATGAGAGTATGTTGGACAGGGACTTAATTTGCAGAGATCATGCACAATTTTCCTACTCAAGGCATTGTATTTTAAATGTCCCATTCTGACTGGACATGGCTGCGTTTATATAAATCCCACACAGCCAACGGATACATGTACTCAAACTTTAACATGAGTTTTACCTCAGGGTTGGAAATTCCAGGTTTAAACAGAATTTCAAATAATTTTGACATAATTTTAAAAGAAACAAATCCAATGAAAAGGTTAGAGTGTCTCTGGACCTGCCACTGCCTTGTTTTCCTAGTCTCATATTCTTTACCAACATTACCAACTTAACTTTGTAATTTGCCCTTTCTCCTATTTCATTTTGCATCATGTATTCATAATATTACACAAAAAATATATTTTCCCATATATCATGTACATAATCTGTATTTTTTATATCATTAAATTTATATTTATAACCTCATATTTCTCAAAATTGTGTATGATGGCCTGTATTGTTTTATCTGAAATGAACCAACTTTTAACACTTTTTCATGAAAATTTAAGTGAATCTAATCTGTAACTTTAGACCACCTTATTTAAAAAAAAAAGAGATGAAATATTAAAAAAGATGGAGAATAAGATATTTATATAATGATTTTTTAAGCAAAATTGTACATGATTTTTTTCTTTTTGAAGGCATTAGTTTATAACCATGAAGGCGAGGCCAGAATTGAAGAGGGGCCAAAGAGGGTAAGCTGCTTTTACATTAATTTGATATTTTTTTGGAGATTTTTAATCATTTTGACCTAAGAATTAAGTAGATATATTGGAAATAAAATATACCATTTTTATTTAAAAAAGGAGATCAAAAATAAAAACAGCACAAAATGAAGTTTTATGAAAATGCAGTAGGATAAAAGGAAGCCTGAATGCATGTTATGATGTAAAGTGCTATGTAACTTCCAAAAAATTGAATCAGTTTATGATTATATTTCTTAGAATAAGGGTTATGGAAATGCATTTGCCCACTCATCAATACTCAAAGGCCAATGTTTAAATAAGTTGTGATCAGTAGATATCAACCGAATCCTTCAGCCACAATGGCTCTGGAGTGACATACCATGGGTATGCAAATTTTCTTTGCTATTGGTGGTTTCAGAGAGCACCCAGCCACTTCTACATAGACAATTTGTAAAGAAGTATAATAATAATGAACTATGTGAACACAAAACAGGTCCTTATATATATATAGTCAGTTGCCAACCCAAACCCTTTTTATTTTGAAATTAATCGATTGGCTATTTCATGGTTCAATTTATGATTTTTCTCAAACTTCTGTAAAAGACTTCTGGGTCAATGTACTTTAAATTTTCAATATAATAACTAGGGGTCACTGACCTTGATTTTTCTTTACCTTAAGTAAGAAATCCAAATTAATGTCAGAGCTAACCAATAGACTGACATTAATTTACCAAAATTTCTTCTTTGACAACCAATTTAAAGCATGACAAATAACACCAAAGTAAGGAAATATTACAACTAAGCCATAAAAAACAATCACATAATATAGTATGTTTAAAAAATAATTTGTTGAAGTTGGTTATAAAAAAAAGATGTGGTATGATTGCCAATGAGACAACTCTCCAAAAGAGACCAAATGACACAGAAATAAACAACTATAGGTCACCATACAGCCTTCAACAATGAGTAAAACCCATACAGCATAGTCAGCTATAAAAGGCCCTGAAATGACAAATGTAAAACAATTCAAACGAGAAAACTAAGGGCCTGATTTATGTACCAAATTAATGAACAAAAAACAAATATGATATACAGCAACAAACGACAACCACTGAATTACAGGCACATACTAGAATTCCACATAAACAAGCAAAAAAACAAAAAAAGAATTAAAAGACATTGAAATGAGAAAGGTTTTTGATTCCCCAGAAACTGCAAATCTACTTCACCTCTGTTAGTTAATATGTGTACTGAAATTACTTTTAATATCAATAAACCAAATGTTTGTTGATAAAACAAAACGATTCCTTTGGATATATATTTTAGTAGATTTAAATCACCTTGTTGTAAGAAGAAAAGAAAACTAAACTTGCATCAAAATAACAAACCTTCCATGATATGATTTGCAGTGAAAACTGATGAAAATGTTGACATTTTATGAACTTTTTGGCCAATATTTATTGCAGTTATTTTTATGGAGAGAAAGATTTCAGATACTAAAGAGGACTGCAGTGAACCAGAATTCCTATGTAATTGTGAGGTACAATGATGGTCAAGTGGAACATTTGAAAGGGTAAGGAGTCAATAGTTCTATATGTTCAAGTTATTTACCGTATCTGATAGTTCAAAGTAAAAACTACCATACATGTTATGTAAAAATAATTCTTATATGATTTGCATATTAGGGAATACATTTATATGATTGGTCGAGAGGACTTCCGGTAGTGGATTTTGATGTTGTTAATTTTTCGATAGACGACGTTGACCGAACTACTTTTCGTAATTAATGTAAACAAAATGGCGGCAATAATAACACAATCCGGTTCGACGTTGAAAATATTTATTTTCACTTCGTGCTAATCGTTAAATTTAATAATAAACCCAAAACATTCATTTGAATGATAATAAGATATTTTTTTAGTTGATTTTTTATCATATAGCAAATTTCATGGAGTACATATTTTTGCGTTAACCAACAAATATATCAATGCGCCAGGCCAATTTGACGACACATATATACAATTTACATGTGATAGAGGTTACGAGTGTGGAAAAATAAATTCCTTATCACCAATTTTAAAGAATTATAAGGATTAAACGCCTTTTTAAAGGAATATATTGGTGTATAAACTGGACCAAGTCACTCACAAACATATCATAAAAATCCTTCGAACTTTTATTTGTTTGTGAGTGAATTGGTTGAGTTTATACACCAATAAATTCCTTTAAAAAGGCGTTTAATCCTTAAAATTCTTTAAAGTTGGTGATAAGGAATTTCAATAAATCCTGTTTGTAATAAGACTTTTTTTTATTGTTTAAATTTTGATTGAAATACTTACCATATATTTGCAGACCATGTGTTATTTATGAGAATCCACTTCACCAAAAGTTTGTTAAGGCCTACCCAATGGAATCACTTGACGCAAATGAAGCTTTAGTTGTCTATAAACAAGATAAGGAGACCAACAAAGTCACTAGATATGTACAGTTTGGACCAACCTTATTCATGCCAAAAGAAAGTGAATGGTAAAAAAAAGTTTTGAGTTTTTTGTTTAAGGAATTTAAAAAAAATCAAAATTACAGTGAAAATTATCCCTGATGATTACGAAGATAGAACTAAGGTTTACACTGGACAAAACCAAATTAACAATAGATACATCTGTTAACCAAGTGGTCACTGTATGCTGAACACTTTTCATATTTTTAATGCATACCCGGTACCTATTTTCACATTTTATGTATTTGAAAGGAATTGCTGAGTATTTGAATTCTTTGATATAGAATAAATTAATTAAAACTTTTAAATGTGAAAAGATTTTGATTGGCAATATCTTTTACGAGTTGTAAGATGAAGACAGTTTGATGATTTTTTTATTATGCAACTTGAAAATTTGAAGAGAATATGGAAAATTAACATTGTAAGTGCTCTCTAACATACAGTTCTCATTGGAGTTTAATTAAGATCATAGGTAACATTATTTTGGATGAGTACAAAAAATAGAGTTGATTGATTATTTTTTGGGGGATACATATAAGTCCCTTTGAATTATTAATAATATGGAAAATCAACATTGTAAGCCAGATTTCAAGTTCATTCCTTATTGAATTTTTTTTAAACTTGTGTCAAAGTTTTAAATAAATCTACATCAGCAATATCACAAAAAAAATGGAAAATTAGTGTGGACTTTATTTTATGCCCCCACCGTAGCGGAGGGGGCATTAAGTTTTACCCTTGTCTGTCTGTACGTCCATCCAACGTCCGTCTGTAAGTCCCAAAATTGGTTTCTGTTCTCTAACTTTTGTTTGCCTCAACCAAATATTATGAAACTTATACACAATGCTCATAAGCACAAAATACAGATCAATTTTGAAATTTGGTGGCGTCACTTTTACCGTTCTAGAGTTATGCCCCTTTACAAATGAAAAAATTGCTGAATTTTTCGTTTCTGTTCTCTTACTTTAATTTGCCTCAACCAAATGTTATGAAACTTATACACAATGCTTATTACCACAAAACACAGATCAAGTTTGAATTTTGGTGGCATCACTTTCATCGTTCTAGAGTTATGCCCCTTTACAAATGGAAAAATTGCTGAATTTTTCGTTTCCGTTCTCTTACTTAAGTTTGCACCAACCAAATATTATGAAACTTATACACAATGCTCATAAGCACAAAATACAGATCAATTTTGAAATTTGGTGGCGTCACTTTTACCTTTCTAGAGTTATGCCCCTTTACAAATGGAAAAAATGCTGAATTTTTCGTTTCCGTTCTCTTACATAAGTTTGCATCAACTAAATGTTATGAAACTTATAAACAATGCTTATTACCACAAAACTCAGATCAAGTACAAATTGGGTAGCATCACTTTTACAGTTCTTCAGTTATGTCCCTTTATAACGTTATATGCAAGCAGGGGCATCATCTGTGTCCTATGGACACATTCCCCATTTATTATTTAAAGTTATCCCCTTTGAAATATAAGCGATATGGAAAAATACAGTTAATGGGCAGGAGACGTTGGCTATCATGTACCAATCCTAAAAATATAATTGTATTTTTTTTTGCAGGCTACATGAATTTTGCTGGCATGGAGTAGATCCAGACAACAAAACCAGTATGATTCCAAACAGTAACAGATTCTCAAGACTGAAAATTATTCCAGACCAGTTTTATTATAATGTGAGTAACAGCAAAAATTTTATTTTAGTCCTTTTTGTTTGTAAAATGAAAATGAAAATTATGAATTATTGCAAATTAGAATATATAAGGATAAAAAACAAGCAAGAAAAATTGGTAAATCTATGTATGCTTTTGGTCATAAATAATATTTAAAAAAGACACAGTCGCATTGAACATACCTTGCTTTTTATATTTTACTTAAAACAAATGGCTCAAGTAGGATATACAGTACTATAGTTCCCGGTTTTATAAAAAAATTAGACGCTTCTGTAGTCTTGGGAAATAAATATATTTAAGATATATAAGAAAAAAATACAGGTCAACAATTTGAATTGTAAATTAAGTCGACAAAATATAATCATTTCATTACACCAGAATAATGATTAAGTGGTAACAATTAACAAGTAGACAGTTGACAGATTGACAGTTGACAAAAACTATAAAAAGAAATCATTAAATTAAATTTATACCAAAAAAATAATCATTATAGTGGTTGACAGTCGATAGATCTACAGTCGACAGTTCACCATTGTCACCAAGAATGCTCATATATTTATGTTGACCTTTCAAACTGTATACTTGTCTACCTGTCGTCCTTTGTACATAAAATTAAACACCTGACAACCTGTTGACTTATGTACATATAAACCGATTTACCCCTCTATTCTTCTGATGGAACTACAATCCTGTATATCCTACTCGACTCCAAAAAATAAATTATTGAAGGAGTCTGTTGGTATTGACACATCTCTAGTAAAAAATGTTATTAGAGTAAATACTTTGAATATTTTCAAATAAACATATCTTTAGATTGTCAGTCACTGCTTTTGTTAACTCTTCTATGCAAAATGAAGATGCTGAATATTGTCAAAATAACACTTTTGTCAAAACAGTGTTTGATATTTAATTGATATTGGTTTGTTATTTTAAAGGTTGATGAAGTGAGAACAGCTGATGATGCTGCTATCAGAGTCAAGTTAATGGTGTTTTATGAACTCAAAGATATAGATACCATGGTAAAGAAATTAAAAACTTGGAAGAAAATTCCGAATACTCCAATTTGGTCATATTGCCGATCAGACTTTTGTTGAACAGATGACCCTTTTGAATAGAAAATTTTATCAATATTGCACTTATCTGTAAAAAAAAATCTTCTCTCCAGAATACATTGAGTTGATTTTTGTACTCTTATAATAATGCCAGAGTTACATATTGAGTATGCATTTAAGTTTGGTAGATCCTTTTTTACAGGAGTATGGCATTTCCATGGAGATTATTTGGCCCTGGACCTTCAGTTATGGTTCATTGACTTTGGTTGTTTTACATAATTTACATACTAAAGTTTGTGATAAGGTTAGTTTAAGGGGAACAACTTATAGGTTAATAATATTTGGTATGCAGTTGTATTTATAGTACTGACATATTATTTCTATGGAGATTATTTGGTCCTGAACTTTCAGTTATGGTTCATTGATTTTCAATGGTTTGCACATTTTACATGTTAAAGTATTGACATTTTAATATCAACATTTGCATTTTATTGTCAGAATTACATGCAGGGGAGACATATCTCTGTGTCAACAGTTTATTGATATTTTAATTTGTAGTTTTTGTCTTTTTAGCTCACCTTTCCAAAGGAAATGTGAGCTTTTGCCATCACTTGGCTTCCGTCGTCGTCGTCCATCCGGTGTAAACTATTTCAAACATCTTCTTCTCTGAAACTACTGAACCAAATCCAACCAAACTTAAGCTGAACGATCCTTAGGGTATCTAGAATAAATTTTTGAAGAAAACATGGCCGCCATGGCTAAAAATAAAACACAGGGGTAAAATGCAGTGTTTGGCTTATATCTCAAAAACTGAAGCATTTAGAGCAAATCTTACATAGGGGTAAAATTGTTCATTAGGTCAAGTTCTATCAGCCCTTAAATTTTCAGATGAATCTAACAACCCATTGTTGGGTTGCTGCCACTGAATTGGTAATTTTAAGGAAATTTTGCAGTTTTTATACGACCGCAAAAATTAAAAAATTTTTGGTCTTATATTGGTATGACGTCGTCGTCGTCGTCGTCGTCGTCGTCGTCTGGCGTCGTCCGGCGTCGTCCGAAGACACATTGGTTTTCGCACTCTAACTTTAGTTTAAGTGAATGGATCTCTATGAAATTTTACCACAAGGTTCAATACAGCAAAAGGAAGGTTGGGATTGATTTTGGGGGTTATGGTACCAACAGTAAAGGAATTAGGGGCCAAAAAGGGGCCAAAAATAAGCATTTTTGTAACTTCCAGACATAACTTGTGTGTTAGTGTATGGATATCTCTGACATTGTACCACAAGGTTCCATATCACAAAAGGAATGCTGGGATTGATTTTGGGGGTAATTGTCTCAAAATTTTAGGAATTAGGGGCCAAAAAAGGGGCAAAAAACAAGCATTTTCCTAGTTTCATGACAATAACTTGTGTGTAAGTATTTAGATATTTCTGAAATTGTACTACAAGGTTCCATATCACAAAGGGAAAGCTGGAATTAAGTTTGGGGGTAACTGCCCGAAACGTTTAGGAATTGGGGGCCAAAAAGGGGCCAAAAATAAGCATTTTTCTAGTTTCCAGACAATAACTTGTGTTCAAGTGTATGGATCTCTCTGAAATTGTACTGCAAGGTACCATACCACAAAGGGAAGGCTGGGATTGAGTTTGGGGGTGATGAATCATAAGGGGGTTCAAAAAATTTAGGGGGGGGATTTTTTTTTTTTTCTTTTTTTTTCTGTTTTTCCTTTTTTTTTTCTTTTAAAATTTTCCATTTTAAGTTGGTTATTACTGATTTATATTTAAAAGCAAATAATAATGATATGGTAGGAGATACACACCAAACAGGATGTGTAAGTTATTATATAATAAGTATTGTGCAATAGCAAGAAATTTTCAATTGGACAGTATTGCACAATAGCAAGAAATCTTCAATTGCACAGTATTGCGCAATAGCAAGAAATCTTCAATTGCACAGTATTGCGCAATAGCAAGAAATATCCAATAGCACAATATTGCACAATAGCAAGAAATTGTCAATTGTACAGTATTGCGCAATAGCAAGAAATATTCAATTGCACAGTATTGTGCAAAAGAAGATACTTCGTATAAATTGCTTATAACTTGATCAATTTCAATGGGATTTTATTCTTGAATTCTTGGGGTTCTTTAATATGCTGAATCTAACCGTGTATTAAGTTTTTGGATTTTGAGCCCCGTTTTTAAATTGGTCCACATTGAGGTCCAAAGGGTCCAAAATTTAACTTTGTTTGATTTCGTCAAAAATTGAATTATTGGGGTTCTTTGATATGCCGAATCTAACCATGTATTTAGATTCTTAATTTTTGGTTCCGTTTTCAAATTGGTCTTCATTAAGGTCCAAAGGGTCCAAAATTAAACTTAGTTTGATTTTAACAAAAATTGAATTTTTAGGGTTCTTTGATATTCTGAATCTAAACATGTATTTAGATTTTTGATTATGGGCTCAGTTTTCAAGTTGGTCCAAATCGGGGTCCAAAATTAAACTTTGTTTGATTTCAACAAAAATTGAATATATGGGGTTCTTTGATATGCTGAATCTAACCATGTATTTAGATTTTTGATTTTTGGGCCCCATTATCAACTTTGTCCACATTGAGGTCAAAAGGGTCCAAAATTAAACTTTGTTTGATTTCATCAAAAATTGAATTCTTAGGGTTCTTTGATATGCTGAATCTAACCATGTATTTAGATTTTGGATATTGGACCATAATAGGTGAATGTCCAATTTAAAATTTTTAAGTTCTTAGACCACATTCATTCTGTGTCAGAAACCTATGCTGTGTCAAATATTTAATCACAATCCAAATTCAGAGCTGTATCAAGCTTGAATGTTGTGTCCATACTTGCCCCAACTGTTCAGGGTTCGACCTCTGCGGTCGTATCAAGCTGCGCCCTGCGGAGCATTTTATTGGTTATTATCTTGAATATTATTATAGATAAAGTTAAACTGTAAACAGCAAAAATGTTCAGCAAAGTAAGATCTACAAATAAGTTTAATATGACCAAAATTGTCAATTGATCCCTTCAAGGAGTTATTGCCCTTTAAGGACAATTTTACACAATTTGTTTATCATGTATTCTAACTTTCAAAAGTCTTCTACTCTGAAACTACTGAACCATATTAAACCAAACTTAAGCTGAATGATTCTTTGGTTATCTAGAATAAAGTTTGTGTTTAATTTTCTGTTTCCTCAGAAAACATGGCCGCCATGGCTTAAAATAGAACATAGGGTAAAATGCAGTTTTTGACATATCTCAAAAACTAAAGTATTTAGAGCGAATCAGACAAGAAGTTAAAGTATTCATTAGGTCAAGTTCTACCTGCCCTGAAGTTATCAGCCAAATCGGGTATCTGATTTTTAGGTTATCGCCCCTGAATTGATGATTTAAAGGAAATTTTGCAGTTTTCAGTTATTATCTTGAATATTATTATAGATAAAGATAAACTGTAAACAGCAAAAATGTTCAGCAAAGTAAGATCTACAAATAAGTTTTTATATGACCCCATAAAGGAGTTATTGTCCTTTAAAGACAATTTTTCACAATTTGTTCATCTAGTTTGCTTACTTTAAAAAATCTTCTCCTTTGAAACTGCTGAATCAATTTTAGTCAAACTTGGGCTGAATGAGTTTCAGAGTATCAAGTATAAATTTTGTATTTTATTTCCTTGTACGTCAAGAAACATAGCCATTATGGCTAAAATGGAACATAGGGGTAAAATGCATTTTTTTGCTTTTGAAGAAATTATGACAGTAACAAAGAACATTTAAGTGGCATTTTTAAGCCACTCATTAATATATATTGAAAAGCAAAAATAATCATTGATGAAAGATTTAAGCAAAAAATTACAGGTGAGAGATTCAGGCTCTTGAGAGCCTCTTGTTTAAATATCTGTAATTGTTTTACTGTTTATCATATTTAATCAGAAAAAATACTGCCCTGTTTTTCTGAGATGTGGTATTTACATATTTTTGGTGTGTTGGAAAAATATAGAGTGATCAGTTTGTTAAATATGCAATATGTATATATAAAAGAGTGAAATATACTACATTTAACTTATTATATGTAATTTTTCAGCTAAATGCCACCAAAGATCCATTTTCAGACTTTATAAAGTAAGTATTAGTCATGATATACAACTGTCTTTGAAATTTTATAAAAGTCTTATTTAGAATTGAGAATTTAGTTTTATAGAATTTCCAAGAAAGATTCCTATTATGTACTTATTCAACATACTTGCTGAAGCTCTTACCCTTTCTGAAAATTAAGGAGTCTATAAAACTCAAATATTTCAGTTTTTAGGCAGTTAAGCTGCCTTATGCTAGCACTCTAGATTTGCATTTTCCCCCAGAAATACTGAAATAGGTGCCATTGTTCTTAAATAGCAGGCTGGTAGTTCATGTTAAACTAATCGGACACTTTTTTCATGGTTTTAATTCTGGATTACAAAAAATATGTCTAATATAACCTTAAATGATCGTCGAACAATCCAAAATCAATGACGTTGCACATTGGAAATTATGCTCAATGGAAAGTCTTACACTGAGTTTTATCTTCTGTGCTTTTGATAATGATGTTAAAGAACAAGTGTATGAAATATTACATCGCCGAAAATTTCTATATACAAATCGTTTACATTTAATAAATGACAAATTGTGCATGGATATCGTTTGGTGGTATTTTTAAACTAGGAGACGAAAAGTAGATTTCAAGGATTTATTACAAATGTTTAGCTGTGATCGATACTATATTGCAACTTCGTTTACATGAATCGTATATATTACAGTGTCATTTCAACGTAGCAGTCATGTGGCATTCTTTTGGCAGTCATGCATTGATCACTTTATTAACGCTTTCATTCCTTTCTATTATATTATTCCGTTTTTTTACATAACTGGCCTTGTCAATTGAAGTTGTTATAGTTGGATGACAAATGATTTAATGGCTTCTAAGTTCAAGATTTTGGTCACGTGACAAAAGGTCAGAGTTTATCGTGTTTGCATTGTTTTCGGTTGTTTTTTTTTTTTTTACATCGTATTGTCTTATTTTTACTTTTATACGTTTTAACATTTTATTTTTGTTATTGGTGAAAAAATAATCAACTCTAATTCTTAAATTTTCTCACGTACAACACTCATCTCAAACAAAAACCTGTAAAGGGTCCCAGGTAAATTTACTACTTTGCATATACGAAACAGCTATAAATATTTTACAAAGGGGCATTGAAATATTTATTTTTATAATTTCTTTTGTCATGGAGACAAAAGGAAGCGCCGGTAAACAACACATGAAAACAGACTGACCATTGTTTATAATCTTTATTGAAAGAATTAAAACAATATTATATGAGACAAATATATTTTATTGAATTTAACAAGAGACATATATTTCTTTGATTTAACACTGTGACACTGACATATCGAGCATAGCTCTCCATCCTTTTTCGGGGGTTTCTGTTCTTCCAATCGTGTTTGACCCTGTAATTTAGATTTCGGATATCAACTGCATACCGTTTTTCGCGATCTAAAAATTGGCAATCTAAGTACTGTAAATTCAGAAATTATTGCATGCATTTATTTTTGCGATTTTGTCATTTTAGACTTGAATGCGATTATAATTATTGTGATATTGAGAAAAATCCTGTTTAATCCATATAAAAAAATTTCAAAATGCGAGTTTAAATTATTGCGATTATAACCCTGTCGCATTTTTCGCAATAATAAAAACATCGCAATAATTTCTGAATTTACAGTAACTGAAATCCACTCTACTGCTGCCAAGAAAGAATGGTTGCTCCTCAAAACTTTATGAATAGGGAAGTGAAGTTTTTTTCTTCAAAATTCGGTTTGGTCAAAGCAATGACATATATTGTTAGACATACATCCTTGGTGAAAGTTGAAAAAAGTTATCCGTATTTGGCTATAGTTCCACAACTTCAGAAAACAGTGTCAGTGGACTTGTTAGTTTTTTTTTTTCATATAAAGGAAGAAAAGCATAAATTTTGTACTGTAGAACTTACGTCAACCAAACTCAGTGTTCTCCCCAGGCCAATATAATATTGGACAATGGTCCTTAGGGCTGTGCTTTATTTCTGGCCCATGGTGATATAATTTTCAGTCAAAAGATCGTATATTGGTAAAATTTTACCCGACTTGTTAAATCTTATCTGTGTAGTTCAAAATTCAAGGTGAAATTTAACCTACACCTTGATTGTAATTGATTTACCTGGTGAGGTAGGTATGATGAGTCTAAGTTGTAAGCTTGTAAACTAGCACATTAAAACATTTATTCAGCATGTTGGTCATGAACAAAACAAGGTTCATAATCATGAACATAATATTAGCCTTCTATATAATATTTTGTGTAAAAAATACATCCTAAGATGATCTAAGATTGAAGCTTTCCATAAAACTCACTAAATCACCTTTTCATAAATTCCCATTACAGATGCATTTGCTTTCTTCAATTATTCAATGGAAACATGCTTATGCTTACATATACATACATCTTCTCAGACATTATTATTTTAAAAAAGGATACATATTTTAAAGTAACTTAAAACCGGGTACTAGTATCAGATTTTTTTAGAACAATTGGTATAGTTGATAAGAAAAGTGTGTATGATAGTGGAAAACAGAACAGTACAAAAAAAGAGTTAATACTTGAGATTTTTTTATACAACCACAAATCAATTGCAGCCGTATAATGGTATGGTGATGTCGTCATCCGAAGACATCTGGTTTCCAGACAATAACTAAACTAACTCTTCCATAATTTTCACCATTACTTTTGACTGGTTTTATATTAACTGCCCACAGCACACACAGTGCTTTGATTGATACTATGTATAACTTTTCTATTGCATCACGCTTCAAACAACGCTAGAAAAAAGTCTTCGTCTATACTTTCCGAAAGGATTTAAGTGGAATAATGTGGATTCATTTATTTACGGGATTGATGAAAAATTGTGTTTTGCTTTATATTGATTTCAAGTTTTGCCAAAGTGTGCTTACAAGCCTATAGATAAATTTGTACTTTGTTGAACATTTAAATTCATGGTTAGCCTTTACCCACGAAAGTCACCAAAAATTGATATCCCACGAATAATAATGAATGCTCAGTACTTGGGGAAACTCTCTGCTTGTGTTTTTCAGTTGGACTTGACCGAGCAACTGCTATTTTTGATACATTTTTAGGGCTGTTTCCAGAATATTACATGGCCAGTATTGTACATTGTCAAGAACATTACTGTATCTACAACCCACAGGCACTTGTCTCAGAAAAAAATTTCCTATATACCTTAACAGTGTTATATTAAGGTACAGATATATAGGAAATTTTTTTCTGAGACAAGTGCCTGTGATACAATCACTGTTCATATATTCTTAGTTAACTCCCCCATTTTTGATAATCAAAATTGTTATATGCTGTGCAAGCGTAGGTCTACATTATGAAAATTCTGAAACATATACATTTGTTTTCATTACAGCTGTGTCTGTGCAGATATTATAGCTTATTCTTCTAAATACACGTAAGTAAAAACTTAGTGGAATAAGAATGAAAAAAAATTATAAAATATAAAAACCCATTCATTGCACTTCTTCAGGAGTCAAGATGTTTGTAGTTGCTGTCGTCAAATGTTACTTTCCAATATTTTTGATGATTCTGCATTATTCTTTATATATATATATATATATATATATATTGTCTAAAAATAGCAACAATCAACATTCAATCTATCTAGGCGTGGATAAATATTGACAAATATTTCATCTACTATCCACAAGCACTGGCGTCTTATCGAAAATGACTCTTCCTTAAAAGAAATTTTTCCATCACCTCCTGTTATTGCCTATCGCAGACCCAAAAATCTCAAAGACATACTTGTCACATCTAAAGTAAAGAAACAAGAGACTTCTAAAATTGGGTGTTACATACAATGCGGAAGATCCAATTGTAAGTGCTGTAACACTGACCACTCTTTCAGCAGCACAGTAAGATACAACATCTATGTTACATCTAATTGCAAAACGGAAAATAGTATTTATATTCTTAATTGTGGAACTTGCAAGCTGCAGTATGTTGGTGAAACAGAAACGAAATTCAACATCAGACTTAACAATCACCAGTCTTTTTATACAAAAGGAAGAAACTGTCCAATTAAGAGACACCTCTTAAGAACAGGGCATACTTTTGAAAATATCACCTTTCAAATAATTGAGGTAAACCAAAATTGGGACTCCCAAAGGAGAAAACAGAGAGAAAAGTTCTGGATGCATCAGCTATTTGTTTTGATTTAAGAATTGCTATGTACAATAAGCGGCAAAAATATTTTTCTAGACATTTAACATTGAGCTGCAAAAATTTCTTTACAGCCTCTAACTTTTACCTGGTTGGCTGCACACGCCTGATGAAGCTAATTTGTTTAGCGAAATATTGCGTGAATAATATAAAATATAACAACTAATTTTATAACACTCATTAGTGTGTTAAAGTTACATTCTTAGGCACTTATATATATATATATATATTAATAAATACATTGGGGAATATACTTCTTAAATGCCAGTTTGACCAGTGTTTTGCCTTGTGCTAAAAAAAAAAACATGCCAAATTTTAACATTACAAATATAAGATAATATGATTATATTGGATACTTTTATGAAGTATACAGGTAATGATATTCAATGTTGTCTTGGTAACATATTATGTTAAGCAGACTCATGAATGCATTATTTCTTATTTTTAATTTAGTATTCTACTCTTGAAAATATTCACAATATTATTATGGTAATACCTTAAAAAATTAAAACGCTGATTCATCTCTGAATGTCAAAATATTCAAGTGGTTTTGCACTGCTTTTAACATAATGAAGAAATATATTTGTATGTTATATGTTTTTTAGGTATATAGAATTCATGGAAAAGTCTTCAGCATTAAATGATCTATCTAACTACCCACAGTTATTAGACCGTAGTAAACAGATTGGATATGAGATCTCTAAAGTTGTCTATCGAGGATTCCATACACATGACAAATTACAGAAACTTCATGATAGTGCTGTCAAAACAAGGACTAATCTAAAAATAGCTGTAAGTATAAAAACATAAATACATTTGCCTAATGAAGTTGGAAAAAGTAATATTGTTAAGTTTAAGGCAAATTTTTAATAGATTTTGGGCAGTGAGACCTGTATTTAGCTCTCCAACATGTATGTTTTTATATTGTGTATGTAATGAAACTTTATTTTAAAACATACTTTTTATCATCAGATTTTGGATATGTTTAGGCCAAATAATGCCCTCAACAATCCCTTATCTTTTCCTTATGAATACAAGATGATATTGAGTGTATGTCAAAGAGACAAGATGATGTTGAGTGTATGTCTAAGAGACAAGATGATGTTGAGTGTATGTTAAAGAGACAAGTTGATGTTGAGTGTAATGTCAAAGAGACAAGATGATGTTGAGTGTAATGTCAAAGAGACAAGATGATGTTGAGTGTATGTCGAAGAGACAAGATGATGTTGACAACATGGTTGAGTGTATGTCGAAGAGACAAGATGATGTTGAGTGTATGTCAAAGAGACAAGATGATGTTGGGTGTATGTCAAAGAGACAAGATGATGTTGAGTGTAATGTCAAAGAGACAAGATGATGTTGAGTGTGTCAAAGAGACAAAATGATGTTGAGTGTATGTCAAAGAGACAAGATGATGTTGAGTGTAATGTCAAAGAGACTAGATGATGTTGAGTGTAATATCAAAGAGACAAGATGATGTTGAGTGTATGTCGAAGAGACAAGATGATGTTGAGTGTATGTCAAAGAGACTTTGACAAGATGATGTTGAATGTAATGTCAAAGAGACAAGATGATGTTGAGTGTATGTCGAAGAGACAAGATGATGTTGAGTGTATGTCAAAGAGACAAGATGATGTTGAGTGTATGTCAAAGAGACAAGATGATGTTGAGTGTATGTCAAAGAGACAAGATGATGTTGAGTGTATGTCGAAGAGACAAGGTGATGTTGAGTTTATGTCAAAGAGACAAGATGATGTTGAGTGTATGTCAAAGAGACATTTAATTGAACCAATTCAACAAAAGTTTTGAAATTTGTTTACAGAGACTATGAAAGTTCTGCCATCAACAAGAAATTCCCCGATTGACACACATATAAAGATATGACAAAAGGCAACTATTGACAGGGTGTGATATTGTCATGGGACAGACAGATTAAAATGTGAAACGGTTAATCTTTTCTTTTAGATCTCAACACTTCGCCCCTTGTAATATCCTAATTAGTGGAATACCAAGAGATACACAAATGATGTCCAACAAAAAATTTGTACAGAAAAATCATTCATCTCAATTATACTAGTGCCTGTATGATAAATAGTTATAACACAAGTACAGGCAAAGCAATTATAAACAATAATGTATCAAAAGTATTTGTATTTCTTAGTTGCAATTTCAAGTGACAGAAAAAGACTAGTTGGAAAAGACTAGTGATTTACATCCAAAACAATGGCTTATCTTCAAAGTATTTCTTCAATTAATCTTTGATGTTAATCAGTGGATTTCTTAAAAGTACACTTGTGCTTTGTGTCTAACAAAATGCAAAACATGCATATTCTTTCCATTTTAATCATCTTCAAACATTTGGACATTATTATTTTACAGTATGAAAAGGAAGAACAAGAACAAGAAATGACTGACATGAAATTAAAGAATGAAAAAGACAGAATACAATTAGGTGAGAAAAAAAACTTTGATAGCTCAAGCAAATATTAGTTCTTTCAGTGGTTTTTATGCCCCCGCCGTAGCGGAGGGGGCATCAAGTTTTACCCTTGTCCGTCTGTACGTCCGTCCATCCGAAAGTCCCAAAATTGGTTTCCGTTCTCTAACTTTAGTTTGCCTCAACCAAATGTTATGAAACTTATACACAATGCTTATTACCACAAAACACAGATCAAGTCCGAATTTTGGTGGTGTCACTTGTACTGTTCTAGAGTTATGCCCCTTTACAAATGGAAAAATTGCTGAATTTTTCGTTTCCGTTCTCTAACTTTAGTTTGCCTCAACCAAATGTTATGAAACTTATACACAATGATTAATACCACAAAACACAGATCAAGTTCGAATTTTGGTGGCGTCACTTTTACTGTTCTAGAGTTATGCCCCTTTACAAATGGAAAAATTGCTGAAATATTCGTTTCTGTTCTCTAACTTAAGTTTGCCTCAACTAAATGTTATGAAATGTATACACAATGCTTATTACCACAAATCTCAGATCGAGTACAACTTTAGGTAGCATTACTTTTAAAGTTCTGGAGTTTTGTCCCTTTATAACGTTATAAGCAAGTGGGGGCATCATCTGTGTTCCATGGACACATTCCCCATTTATTTTATATGACTGAACATTTATTTAGTCATATCATTGTATGGGCCATCTGTCTGTAGACACAATATTTTAGAGATTGTAGTCCAACCTAATTCTTAAAAATAGCCCAAAGTCAGTTTTTATGCAACCGCAACTGAAAGTTGGGGGCATATTGTTTTACCCCTGTCCGTCTGTCATTCCGTCCGTACATCCCAATATGGATATATAGCTATTCCAGATAACTCCTCCTACAGTTTGAATGCTAGGAAGTTTTCACTTTGCTAGCTGTTTGTATATATATTGAAGGTGTGAATGTGGTCAGGGTTTTGATTTTTATAAATATCTGCTCTTTTGGGAGATAGTTGAACTTTGTCATTTTTGGAGTATATACTTGCCTAAGAGGTGCATAGCGTTTCCGGATAACTCATCCTACAGTGAACCATAGACCTATGTGCTCCCATGCTCAACTTTGTGTATTTTGAAATAAAACTTTGCATCTGCGGGGGGCATCATTCATGTCTTTTTTTTAGGGGGGTCAATTTTTTTTCCTCAAGATTTAAGAAATTGTCAATTTTCCAAAGAAAAATTGGGGGTCACAATTTATTTTGCTAATTCTTTGTATATAGTCTGAAAACAGATTTACTTAGTATTGTGTAACAGCACAATGTATTGCACAAAAGCAAGAAATCTTCAATTGAATATAAATTCAAATCATATAACCAATTTCTAGTTCTTTGACTACATTTATTCTGTGTCAGAAACCTATAATGTGTCAAATATTTAATTTCAATCCAAACTGAGACCTGTATCAAGCTTGAATATTGTGTCCATTTTTGCCCCAACTGTTCAGGGTTGGACCTTTGTGGTCGTATCCAGCTGCGCTCGGCGAAGCAGTTTATTAAACGATTTTTAGGGTTTCCCATTCCAAAACAAGGACTTAGCCATTTATGCTTATATTATTTGTAGTCAGCAGGCAACATACATCTTCTGAATCATTAGAAACTCACATTTGTTAACACATGAATGGCTCTGGTTTAAGTATTGTGTTAATTTCCAGATCTAAGCATCTTTAAATTATAGAGGAATGTTCTTTTGTCAGTTAATACATTGTCTTTCATATCAAAGATCCATTCTTAATGAGGTGACCTTGACCTTAATTTTACATTTAAATTGGTTTGGTTAAGATTTGTGGTAATTTCCAAATCTAAGGAACTATAAATCATAAAGAAATTATCTATTGTCAATTAAGCCATCATGTTAAATGATTGTCAGTTAAGGCATTATGTTTAATTACAATAGTCCACTCAAAATTAGGTGACCTTGACCTTTATTTTACATGTGAATTGGTTTGGTTAAGAAAATTTAAGAGCTAGGCTTATTTTTATGCCCCCGCAGTAGCAGTTTCCATCTTCTAACTTTAGTTTGCCTCAACCAAATGTTATGAAACTTATCTCTAACTTAAGTTTGTCTTAACCAAATATTATGAAACATATTCACTATGCTTATTACCACAAAACTCAGATCATTTACCAATTTGGGTAGCGTCTCTTTTACCGTTCTTGAGTTATGTCCCTTTTTAATGTTATATTGCAAGCGAGGGCATGATCTGTGTCCCATTGACACATTCCCCATTTATTTTAGTTTTGTGTTGTTGTATTGTTTTACTGTCTCGGTGACATATACAGTGGATTCATTCTTATTTGAGGAATTCCAATTTTAGTGGATTTTGTGGGTAAAGGTGAACCACGAATTTGAAGGTTCAAGGAATTACAAATTTTGTAAAGGTTTTTATACAGACTTAGGCAAAACCATGAAATCAAATATCTATGAAAATGAAAGTTTTCCTCATGCCATGAAAATAAATGAATCCACTGTAAACCACAAGTTTTTCAGCCATATTGAATTATTTTTTCATCTAATTTGGATGTGATTTTTATTCTAAGGTTCCCTTTGATGTTATTTATCAAGAATATGCAATAGATTTTCTGTAACTGGTACAATTTGTTAGCCTTTTAGGATAAATGGGTTGTGTTGCTTATCTATTGTATTTAATATATATATTTATACCCCCGCTTTAAAAAAGTGGGGGTATACTGTTTTACCTCTGTCTGTCCATCCGTCAGTCCGTCTTTCCATCCCATGAATATTTTTCGTCGCATCTTTCTCAGGAACTACAAAACAAGGATTTCTGAAATTTGGTTTCAGGGTTTATATTATAAGTCAGCTATACCATGTGATGCGTTTTCAGATTCATCACTCAACAACTTCCTGTTTACTGAACACTTGTATCATTTTACACATGATAGCCAAGTTGAAAATTGTCGTCACATTTTTCTCAGGAACTACAATACAAGGATTTCTGAAATTTGGTTTCAGGGTTTATATAAGTCAGCTATACCGTGTGATGCGTTTTCAGATTCATCACTCAACAACTTCCTGTTTACCGAACACTTGCATCATTTTACACATGATAGCCAAGTTGAAAATTTTCGTCACATTTTTCTCAGGAACTACAATACAAGGATTTCTGAAATTTGGTTTCAGGGTTTATATAAGTCAGCTATACCGCATGATGGGTTTTCAGATTCATCACTCATGACTTCCTGTTTACCGAAATATTTGATAATTCAATGAATAAAAGTGTTAACTTATATTTTCAGAACACAAATTGGAAGAAGAAAATTTATCACACAAACAAGAGTTGGAAAAGTAAGTTAGATAATATTAATTTATAAAGCATCAAATAAAATTAATACTATGGAAACTTATTTAATTTTATGTTTCAAAATAATGTTATCTCACAACAAAACTGAATACATGGAGTAAAATCTTGTCTGCTGCTGATTTGTTTATTTCGTAATTTTCTCTATTTCAGGTAAGCAGTGAAAACTTATATTATCTGTTTCTATTTTAGCCATCACAATCTTGAAAACAAAAATGCCCTGTAAAATATTTGACACATGGCATAGACACTTGTCAATTGTTGAAGACTGAATAATGACCCCTAAATATTTTTGTTGGTGGTTCAATTGTGTTTGTGGCTTGCAGTCTCATTGACAATTACCTCTCATCTCATTTTATTCATATGAAAATTTGCTTTAATGTATTCATTGCATATATATCTTTTACAGAGATAGAGTGAGACATAAACTGATGATGGAACTTAAACAAGAGAAGAATGTTAGAGATGTTTGGATTCAGGAAAATACAGCATCATTAGAGGTTATACCTGTCATAAACACTATTTTAATAATAATGGGTTTTTGTACACATTCTTAGATCTACTGCCCTTCAATTTTGTTACTGATAATAGTATATAGTTGGTATATTACTTATATTGATTATTTTATCTTTTGATATCTCGCCAATATATATGTGTGAGAGGACTCCCTCTTGTCAATAAATATAGCAGCTATTACAATTGTTATAAAAGAATTATTTAAAAAATTGAATTAAAAATGGGTCTGACAAATTTAATCGGTAAAAATGTTTCAAATATGATTCTCTCTAACAATTTCATCCTGTAACTCTTTTTGAAGAAAAAAACATTTAACCAAACAGTTCTTCATAAAACTTAAGCTGACGCAATCAATTGCAACAGTTTTTTTTTTCTTAATCTCCTGTGAGACTTCTTGGTCATATGAGACTTAAAATGGTTTCAATCCTGTTTTGTGTGCATAGTTTGTATCTGATATCCCTGCTTCTTGTTGTCGAGAAATAGGAAGAAAGGCTTGGTAAACCTTGCATTTGTACTTTTTTTCTGTCTAGTACAAACTATTATCCATATTCAGAAACTTTATGCACTATTGTCTTTGTCAGTATTTTAAGTGTCCTTTTTTTGTCTAATGGTTAAAGTCTTAGGTAGCAATATACAATTAGGAAAAAAAAATAAATATTTATCCTAATAAATTTTACCATCCCCTTTTCCTTGCTTTCATACAAATTAAGCTTACTGTTTGTGTCATATATGTGCATATGCATGTAATCAGTATCTTCGAAAGATTTGATTTCCAGTAGCTAAAATGGCTAAATAAAATTTCTCTTTGGTGTATCCATGGCAACAATCTGCATTTAATTGCTATAAAATGTTGCAAAAAGGAGGGTAAAGATGTCATATATTTCCCTAAAATTTTGCCAAAAGTAGAATTTCAATCTCTTGGAGTGATACTTTTTCTGAAACTGTTTACATATATCTATCAAGAGATCAAATAAAAATCATACGTCTTTCATCTCATTTTTTTGTAAAAATGAATCAAAGAGTTCGTGTGAAAAAAAAGTGTTTGTAAACATTACAATAATTTCTGGACCTATGGCCAGTCTGGCTATGAAAATATGGACAGTCAAACAGAAAATAGCCCATAAAACATGTAAAAAGTAATCTTGATGTTCTTATAAACCCACTTTGAAGGCTAAATTAGTCATCAGCTGTCTAAAAATGAATTTTATTGCACAATAATTTCATATTTGAAAAATCCACCATGGCCAAAATGCGAAACTACACTCCTAGCTGTGTATTGCTACCTTTTAATTAATAGTAAATATTTTTTTTAAATTCCCCCTTTTAATTAATTTTCTGTGTTCTGCTAGCTTAAAGGAGTAAATTGGCCCGTTATTTTTGAAAATTGGTTGAGTAATAAATATTTTATGAAGCAGTGTTCTCCCCAGACCCTTAAAGGACCGCGGGCCCGCGATGTATAATTTTTTACCGTGGTGGTATCGTTCTTACCGCGATGTATAATTTTTCTCCGTGGTGCTAAAATTTTCAGTTAAAAAATCGTAAATCGGTAAAGTTTTACATGACTTGTTAAATCTTTTCCGTGCGGTATAAAATTCCAGGTGAATTTGACCAGTTCAAACCAGTTCAACACAGATTGTTTACACCACGTGATCGATTTACCTTATGAGGTTATTAAACCTTGTTGATTGGATTTAATCGATGTAATTAACACTTGTAACATGATTCTTTTGTGTTTTAATTAAGAGTTCATAACTTTATGATCGCAGATAACTATTTTATGGCTTCACTCTCCACCCAAGCACTGACCTGTGACAAGTCGGCAAATACTTTGTACACAAACAGTGTCTTGACCAGATAGGAACATTTTTTGTACATCATAATGGTGGCTCATTATGTATAATGGACAACTATACATTTCCCAATTCTTATATTATAATATTATATGTCTCTGATTAAACCATGGCCAATATTATCTTTAATTATGACATTGTTATTGCATGAAAGTCGGGTTTCAAACTGTCTGTACATATCACATGACCCAGTTAGTTCACGTAGAATATTCAAGTTTATTTACACTTAATTGCAATCTATTATATTTTATAAATAAAATGCATGACTGTACCTTCAAACTGGATATCTATATCCATAATTAATGAATAACAGAAGTAATCTTGCAAATTTTATCCATAAGCACATGTTTAATCTATTTATATCTACTTCCTGTCATTTAGACGGGAAAATAGGGAGACTTAGTTGTTGACATTGAATATGGTTACTTATAGATCTATAGACCAAAGATAAATTTATAGATTTAGGAATTCTTTTTAAATGGTTCATGACAAATAAAGATTTAGATTTTAGGGCAATATTAAGTCTGTATCTATGTTTGATTATCACCAAAGACAAGAAAGATTAATATTTACATGAAATCTATGGCAAAATGTTCTAAAATTTATGAAAAATTTCTTTTTATTAAAATCTAAGATAGAAACTGGTTCAAATAATAAAACAATATTTGCAATTGTTCTTGTTAATTTTATATCTTCTTATGACAGGAATCCTTTCACATTCAACAACTTTTTTTCTAGAAACTAGAAAGTTTTTTTAAATTGAACATTTTTGTTCTCTTTTGAATGATATTTTATTTTTATTGATTTTGGATTTTACAAAAGATTTAATTACTTTAAATTCAGATGAATATTTTATTATGAATCATAATTTATTTATTTTAAAAAAATATTAAAGTATACAAACTGTTTTTTTTATTTACTTCTTTTTTACCAATAATTTTCTGAATCAATGTCTACATAACACAGTACCACAGTGTTAAAACAAAACAAGAGACATAAAAACTACAGTAACTAGAGATAAGCGATGCGACGCGACACAACTGGTTGCATGAAATATTTCACCAAGAAGTCCACACACGTTACCCTGGTGCTATCCAAAAATCCTGGGGAGAACACTGTGAAGGTTAGCATTTGATACTGAAACACGACAAATAATGATTTAAAGAAAAGTGCCAAGTCAAAGTGTAAAATCTCATTTCTGCCTCAATTTTTGGTTAAATTTAAAAAGCTATACCTCTTGTATTTGTTTTTTAATGGTGCAAATCATAATAAGATCTCTGAAGATGCAAAATTAACCAATTTAAAGCACAAAATGTTAATTTTTATATGTACCGGTATTGCATACCAAAGCCTTGATTATGAAACTTGATAATAGGGAATCAAGTTGTTACAGTAAAAACAACTATACATTTAATTTAAATTGCTAAAAAATACTGCATAAAGGGGGGGGGGGGAGGTTAGAGATATCACATATTTCCCTAAAATTTGGCCAAAAGTAGAATTTCAATCCTTTGGAGTGATACCTTTTCTGAAACTGTTTACATATATCTATCAAGAGATCAAATAAAAATAATATGTCTTTTGTCTAATTTTTTTGTAAAATTGAATCAAAAAGTTGGTGTGAAAAAAAAGTGTTTGTAAACATTACAATAATTTCTGGACCTATGACTGGTCTGGCTATGAAAATACAGACAGTCAAACAGAAAATAGCCCATAAAACATGTAAAAAGTAATCTTGATGTTCTTATAAACCATTTTTGAAGGCTAAATTAGTCATCAGCTGTCTAAAAATGAATTTTATTGCACAATAACTTTCATATTTGAAAAATCCACCATGGCCAAAATGCGAAACTGTACTCCTAACTGTGTATTGCTACCTTAGTAAATATATTTTGTTGAATTCACTGAAGTACATTTTGATTTACAGGGTAAGAAGCTACAAGATGCTCAGACACTGAAGTACTACACAAATTTACATGACCTAGGTGTTGACCTCAATGGCTACATACAGGCTAAAGCTCAACGTCCACAGAAAATCATCAAAGTAGTTGCAGATAAAGATTCAGCTAACTTTCATCTTCATCATACCTAATTGTATTGAAAGTTGATGTTTTCATTTTATAACCCACTTAAGGAGTGGACTGTATTGCATTCACTTTGTCCAACTGCTTGTCCATCTTTTCATCTGTTTGTTCATCTGAAAACCATTTTCCTCACTTTTTTTCATGTATTACTCAGCAGAATGATTTGAAATTTATATGTTTCTTTTAAATTTAATTTTATCAAACATTACATATAAAACTACCATTTTGGTCAGATTAGACATGATTGTGAAATCATAATAACACATCAAGTTAAATTTCTGCAATAACGAGGCTGTCTTATATTATCCTTTTCACAAAAAGTTATAAAGAATGATATGGAAAAGATTCAAGGTTTTTTGCTGTTTTTGCAATTTTAGGGGTCAGTAAGGGTTCCTATTAATTGTAGTGATATTATTTCCTCGTTTTGTAATCTACAAAATGTATCTAAAACAAATCTATTATATTTACTCTAACAAATATTACACGTTTATGTTTTTGTATTTTATGTTGTCAGTCAGGTTGTTTGTATTGTCAACTTCTATTGAGGTCACTCTTATATGTTTTTTTTATTTCTCATACATACTGTGATATATATACACTGAATCTTTTATGACATACTTTTAAATCATTAAGAGATGATATTTTTTTAATGTAATCTTTAATGAAAGGTAATTAGCACACCTGGTCTAAATATAAGGTAAAAAAAATGACTGGCTTTTGATTACCCAGCCTCAAGTGTCTAGTGATATTTTGAATAATAGAAGTAAGTACTGTTTTTACTGCTTAAGCTTTAGAAATGAAGACTGTGCTTTTATTAATTCAAGATCTTACTTTTGCACTAAGTCTTTATTTGCATTGCACAATCAAACAAGTCATATATTTGTTTACATACAGTTAACTCTTGTTGTCTTGAACTCGGTTGACTCGAAATTTCGGATGGGTCGAAGTTTTCTCGTGGTCACGAACTTTGTTCCATATAAATATATGTATTTCGACTCCTGATGAGTCGAAATTGGATGAGTCGAAATTTCAGTTGAGTCGAACTGAATTTACGGTCCCAAGGTTAACAAAAGCAAAATCATACACCTGTAATTAAATTTCCGGTCACTGAACACTGTATTGATTTATGACAAGCTATTTCCACAAGTGTTTACCTAAGATTATCTTGTATCACAATGATAAATAATTAGTGATGCATTGTTAAAGTTTATGAGCAATTATCTTAAGAGGGTTTGTTAGGCATCCTGTATAATCCAACTATGCCTAATGGTTAACTTATTATTTGTTTCATTTATCAACAAGGGTTAACTCAGAAATAACAATACCTATTATTGTACTACCACAAGGGACTCATTGGAGATATATAGTCGAGCCTTAATAGAATTTGTTTATGACTGAAAGCAGTTAGACTCAATATATTTTGGCATATCCCTTGCAAGTTACTACGCAACAAGATAGTCCTATATCTATTGAGATGATCTGTTTGCTGAAGCTGATGACATCAAGTAAAATGCCTAACCCTCAATCTAACTGATACCCCCTATCTTATTTATATATTTTATTTGCCTCTTTAAATATGATTCTTTTTTCAGAATTCCATATAATATATTCAAGTTAGAATAATGAATAGAAATTTCTTTGTATAATGATCCATCAGCATTTGTCTTCTCAGGGATAGTTGCCCCCATTCCATCACTCATCCTTAACCCTTACCATGCTGAGCCCGTCATATGACGGGATGACCCAGACCACCGTTATTTGGCTCTAATGGCTCTCCATACTTTTAGAGGTCAACTTTATGATACTATTTCGAAATTGATGCATGTTCCCTCAACCTGAGGCTATCTATTGTCATGTTTCTCAAGTTTAAGTAGCATTTTGAGCTCAAATAAGAACTTGGAAAATTGAAATCGGATAAAACTGGTTTTTCTGGAGGGGTGGGCTTCCCTTCTGTGTCTTACACAGGACGTTCAGAGGCCTAAAACTTTCAAAAATAGTGTAAACCCGCAGGCATATATCTACTGATCATAATTATTATTGAAATACGCAGAGGAAACGACTACTTCCGGTTTCAGGTCCAGTTGAAGTCCAAAATCGGAAAAAATCGTGAAATTCCGTATTTTTTGTCCAAATGACCTTCTTAAGACTGGTGTTCCCAGATCAGTTTCACTCCAACCTAAGAACTGTTTGGGTTATGTGTTTACTGTGGTCCACTGTACATGCAGACTACAGCTGGATACCTATATCAGCATCCCTCGGTCTTTGGGGTCAAGAAATAGGACGAAAAATCGTCAAAAATGACGCTTTTTGCACCTGATGACCAACTTTGGGGCAAATGCCCGCCCACCCACACCCACCTCCTCACCCCAACCACCCCGCCCCGTGATCCCCTATCTTAGATTAAAAGAAATCAATATGCCTCAGCATCAGGGTAAAGCTCATTTGCATATAATTTGCGAATAAACGAAAACAAGACTTTTTCTGAAAACAATTCAGCATGGTAAGTGTTAACATATAGGCACTGGCTACGGTTACATGGAAATGTAACAATAATATAAAAATTATTGTTACATTGGAGACTAATTGCCGGAATGCAGGGTTGGGTAAGGAACCGATTAATTACGAATGTAACAATAATATTTGGGTCTACGGTTACATTGCGTTATTGTTGCATTAACGCACTGCAATGTACAATGGGAATAGTAATAAATATGTATTAAAATAAAACTTGAAAACTTTTATCTGATATTTACAATATTGCATACAATATTTTGATTTTTTATTTACAATGACAGTTTCTACAAATCCAGTATGTTGTTTTTGGAGCATGTTTTAGTCCGACGCATTTTCGGTGAAACCACTCTAAGCAGCCATCACAAACCAGTGATACGGCAATGTGCACGCTCTATATTGCATACCGTACAATTCCATTCTGCATTTTCCCTTTATGAAGTTTAAGAAACTTTCAATGTCTGAATGCCATGCTTCAGGTGAAAAATATTTTGTTTCTCTTGCGATGTTTACATTTTCGTCCAATTTTTTTTTTAGAAGCATGTTAGGTTGTTTAAATACAAGTCAATTGTGAAAGCAATTAATGTTGACATTTGCCGACAGATTGAAATTGGTGGAAACAGTGGTTTCATTTTCAGAGTCCAGATATTTTGTGATCTTATCAGTCGTGACAGTACATGCTCTATTGAACAGTTCATTAAGTATTCATCAATAGTGATATTGAACTAAACTGTAGTAGTCATGATTTTTAACAACACCAAAACAATCAATACTTATTCGCTGAATAATATTATTATTATTAATATTATCTAGTACATATCGAAGAATTAAGCAACATAACTATAGAAGGTTTAAGTTTAATAAATCTATCATACATTGCAGTCTTTAATGTAACAATAACGTAATGTAACCGTAGACCCAAATATTATTGTTACATTCGTAATTAATCGGTTCCTTACCCAACCCTGCATTCTGGCAATTAGTCTCCAATGTAACAATAATTTTTATATTATTGTTACATTTCCATGTAACCGTAGCCAGTGCCTAACATATACCGCGGTAATTAGATATCATTAAACTTTCACAGAATCTTAAATACCTAACATCATTATGAAGCTTCTTTTTTAATATTTTGGTGAAAAGATTTATAGGTCAATGTGACTGTGTCCAATAGAAAATAATTTAAATTTTTGGGACACATTAGTGCGCTCACAAGGCAATTTTCCATATAATTAATATTTCCAAGAGGCATAACTCTTTAAAAAATTATTGATAAGCACTGATTTTCAAATTTGTCCAAGACATTGCTGATTTAAATCTTTGATTTAAGTTTCATAAAATTCTGGCAAGAATTGTACATATGAGAGCGCTTACAATGCAAATCTGCATATAATTTATATTTCCAAGGGGCATAACTCTTTTAAAGATAATTGATCGGCACTGATTTTCGAAATTGTCCAAGACATTGCTGATATAAACCTAAGATATAAGTTTCATAAAAATCTGGCAAGAATTGTACATGTGAGAGTGCTAACAAGAGCGGACAGACGGACACCCGGACACCTGGTAATTTCATGTCCCCTGCAAAGTGTTGCACGGGGGACAATAAATCAATTAAGACAATTAATTACAATAAAATATCATTATTTGTAAAATAGATAAGAATATCAACATCATATCGACATATAAACTTTGTTTCAAAATTGTTGTCAACTATATTGTTGTAAGATGTGTTCAAAAATAAGTACCCATGTAAAATTCTTGCCAGATTTTTATGAAATTTATATTATAGGTTTATATCATCAATGTACTTGAAGAGTTCAAAAATCAGTGTGGAACAATTATTTTTAAGAGTTATGCCCCTTGAAAATATTGATTATATGGAAAATTGCAATGTTAACGCTCTCGTGTGTTCAATTCTTGCCAGAATTTTATGAAACTTATATCATAGGTTTATATCAGCAATGTCTTTGACACTTTCAAAAATAAGTTCTGATCAAATATTTTTAACAAGTTATGCCCTTGGAAATATATATTATAATGGAAATCACATTGCTTTTGCTCTGAAGCCTTCATTTCACTTAAGATATTAATAAAAAGTTTTAAAGAACCAAAAAAAAAGTGCATTTTTAGTTATTGCCCTTGTACCTTTGATAGATAAAATATGTGCTATGTGGGAGACATTGGAACCCTGTTCTTTTATTTTTATTGTAATAATTTTTTTTCCAACTCTTAATTACCTGTTATATGCTCTTATCACCAATCTAACTGTGCAATATCCTTTTTCTAGCTGTGTACATTTGAGATAATACCAAATTAAATATTAAGTAAAAAATTAAAAAAACAATGATCTTATTTCTTTCATCAGTCGGAGCCATATTGAACATTGTTTAATAATAATATTAAGCAGTGACTAATATCATCATTTAAAGTTACATTATTAAAAGTTGAATAATCTTACATACAAAATGCAACAGGGAGAAGGAAAAAGTTGCAAACATAGTTAAAGTGCAATAATTGATTCCTCAGTTGTAGCATTTGCTTTACATCATTTATAATAAACTGATTCCTTATTCATTTAGATACCGAATAGTTTACATTCATTCTGAACAAAGAAGGAGAAGGTTTACTAATGGTTAAAATTGATATTATGATTTAATATTTTGTCAACTGGCCAAAACAGTACAAATTTCACATAGAACTAGTTGTGATATAACTTAAAATACAAAATAACTTATTTAAGGAATGACTGTAATATTTTTTCTGTCTATGAAGAAATAACATAAAAAATGTGGTGCACACTGAATAACCGGTGTAGAGGGTTATATAAAAGTGTGCACCACAGTTTTCATGTTATTTCGAATAGACAGAAAAAATATTACAGCCATTCCTAATAATTTAAATCTAAAAAGGAGTATATCATTATAAAATCGTTGATAACTTCATGGTCACATGACAAAATTATGTCTATGGGCTGATAGACAAAACACTTTCAGCCAATCAGAAGACGTGTTACATCCAAAATTAAATTATTTTTGGATAATCACATTATGAATTACAAAGCAATGACCCTTAATTATGCATTATTTGTGTTGTTTTGGGTTTTTGGTCGGATTTCACCATAATTCATAACAGTTTTTAGCATAGTTTACTCTGCCTTCACCCTTGCTCACACAAACTGTTATGTCTAGAAAATCAATATAAACATGGGAAACTTTGGGTTACAGAATATCTTGGATAACAGATTGTAGCCATTGTTTTCCTGAAGCTTTTAGGTCTGAAAAATGCACAAAATCATTGTATTTTGACAAAATCTTCAAAATGTGCTGACTTTGCAGCCTATTGAAGTACTCTTATTAAGATATTTGTTTGAGCATTAAGGAGGGTGGTAAAGATGGGTGCTTGCATGGAAAAAATGTTGAACTTGAAATAATTTCTGTCATGAACATTGCACGAAAAATAAAGACTTTGGTGTGAACCTTTTGTGACATTGTCTTCCCTCTGTGTACATGTTTTACTTGGTATTCCCTATTTAGTATACACATTTATGGTGTAAATGATTCATGGCCTTTTAAAAAGTATATAACGATCTTCTTAACTTTTAAACAGCATTAAAGTCCTTTCCGCTTTATCAAAAAACAAAAAAGAATCCATTTTTTCTTGACCATCCCCGCGAAGTGTTTGAATATTATTTGAAAAATACAGAGCATGCAAAGTTAGCATGTAAAAATCACAATGCACATAAAATTAAACAAGCAGAACATGTTTAACGAGGCAGCTGTCTTGCAAGACTGAACGTCTAATAAAAAAATAAAAACATGTTGAACATGAAATAAAAAGCGGGATCACATTGCACGAAAAATAACCCTTTACCACCCTCATTGAGGGTTTTGAAATGGATCTATTTAAGAATCAAATTGTGTTCCTTTTGATAGTTTTGATATTTTTTATAATGTTGATATTTAAGGGCATATTTTACCAAAAGTGAACTTTGTCCTTTTCAAGGACATAGAGGATAGAAGAGATTAACTGTTTACAAATGAAAATAGGTTCTGTTTTCATACGACCGCAAAAAAATTTTTGTGGTCGTATATTGGTATGACGTTGTCGTCGTCGTCGTCCGAAGACACATTAGTTTTCGCACTCTAACTTTAGTTTAAGTGAATGGATCTCAATGAAATTTTACCATAAAGTTCAATACCACAAAAGGAAGGTGGGGATTGATTTTGGGGGTTATGGTACCAACAGTTAAGGAATTAGGGGGCCAAAAAGGGGCCAAAAATAAGCATTTTTGTAATTTCCAGACATAACTTGTGTGTAAGTGTATGGATCTCTCTGACATTGTACCACAAGGTTCCATATTACAAAGGGAATGGTGGGATTGATTTTGGGGGTAATTTCCTCCAAATTTTAGGAATTAGGGGACAAAAAGGGACAAAAAAACAAGCATTTTTCTAGTTTCATGACAATAACTTGTGTGTAAGTGTATGGATCTTTATGAAATTGTACAACAAGGTTCCATATCACAAAGGGAAAGCTGGAATGGAGTTTGGAGGTAATTGCCCAAAAAGTTTAGGAACAAGGGGCCAAAAAGAGGCCAAAAATAAGCATTTTTCTAGTTTCCAGACAATAACTTGTGTTCAAGTGTATGGATCTCTCTGAAATTGTACTGCAAGGTACCATACCACAAAGGGAAGGCTGGGATTGATTTTGGGGGTAATTCCCTCAAATTTATAGTAATTAGGTCCATAAAAGGGCAAAAAACCAAGCATTTTTCTAGTTTCAGGACAATAACTTGTGTGTAAGTTTATGGATCTTTATGAAATTGTACTGCAAGGTTCCATATCACAAAGGGAAAGCTGGGTTTGAGTTTGGGGTAATTGCCCTAAACGTTTAGGAATTTGGGGCAAAAAGGGGCAAAAAAACAAGCATTTTTCTAGTTTCCAGACAATAACTTGTGTTCAAGTGTATGGATCTCTCTGAAATTGTACTGCAAGGTACCATACCACAAAGGGAAGGCTGGGATTGAGTTTGGAGGTGATGAATCATAAGGGGGTTCAAAAAATTGGGGGGGGGGGATTTTTTTTTCCATTTTTTTCTTTAAAATTTTCCATTTTAAATTGGTTATTTCTGATTTATATATAAAAGCAAATAATAATGATATGGTTTGATTAGGTAAATTAAAAATTTTTAAGTTCTTAGACCACTTTCATTCTGTGTCAGAAACCTATGCTGTGTCAAATATTTAATTACAATCCAAATTCAGTGCTGTATCAAGCTTGAATGTTGTGTCCATACTTGCCCCAACTGTTCAGGGTTCGACCTCTGCGGTCGTATCAAGCTGCGCCCCAGCGGAGCATTTTATTATAAGACTGCTAAAAATTTTGGGGATCGTATAATGCTATCATGTCATTGTCGGTGTCATCGTCCGAGACATTTGGTTTCCGGACAATTACTGAAGTTGCAGTGTATGGATCTTTTTGAAATTTAAGCAAAAGGTTCAATACCACAAAAGAAAGGTTGGGAATGATTTTGGGTGTGATGGTCCCAACCGTTTAGAAATAAGGGGCCAAAAAAGGGGCCCAAAACAAGAATTTTTCTAGTTTCAGGACAATAACTTGTGTATAAGTATTTTGATTGCTCTGAAATTGTACCACAAGGTTCAATACCACAAGTCGAAGGTTGGGATTCATTTTGGGGGTAATTGCCCAAACTGTTCAGGAATAAAGGGCCAAAAAGGGTCTAAAACAAACATTTTTCTAGTTTTTAACCGGATTTTCAAAGGAAAATATCGGTTTTTGATTTGGGGATGTACGGCGGCCGGCTGCCAAACAGTGTCTCTTTAATAACACGAAAACGCTGTGATGATTTTTTCTCAAATTTAAATATGTTGTTTCTTGTGACTATATGAAGGTGACTTAGGTCAAGTTCAATTTTCAGTATTTTAGTATTTCTCCTTTATGAGTTATCGCTATTTTTAATATCCAAAAGTGGTATTTTAGAATATTTTTCTCTTGTTATCACATTATGACAAAGCATATGGTAAATGTCTTTTCTCACAATTATAATTGGAGTGACAAATTTATTTGAAAATTTTCTATTTCCTAAGTGGTGATGATTATAAGCTATATTATTAGACATTTTGAAGTTAATTACAGTACTTATTATTATATATGTAATGTTTAGAGTACTATGTTAAACCATTGTTCTGTTCAAAGGGAAATAACCCTTCAAATTTGCAAGTATGATTTTCATTATTAATTAGATCTGGGAAATATCTTAGCATATGATAATAATTGGAGTGACAGATTTTTTTGAACATTTTCTGTTTCCTGATTAGATCTGTAGGACTGTATATATAAAGTTTGAAATTTACTAGTAGGACTGTATAAATGAAGTTTGAAATTTACTGTTCATTATTAGACACTTTGAAGATAATTACAGATAAGTTTTATAGGTTTTTAAGAGATAGACATTTTGAAGTTAATTACATTACTAATAATTATATATGTAATATTAGAGTACTATGTTAAACCATAGTTCTGTTCAAAGGGAAATAACCCTTCAGATTTGCAAGTATGATTTTCACTATTAATTTTTCTTTTCTTTGGTGAACTGTTTGAAGAATTTTATGGTGTGTTTGTTATTCTGTAAAAACTAATTTTCTGAGTGATATATGCATATAATTATTTTGTTGTGTCTGTTAATTTTGATTTTTACTTGATCTTGTTTGGGGTTCCAGATTTGAAAATTCATTAGATAATAATCTATTATTTATAAGTTTAAAAGTTTAAATTAAGATAAGATAAGTTGCAGATCTATATTAGTATGTTACAAATGAAAGAAAAAATATTGGGAACTATCAACTATATATATAAAGTTTGATTACACTAAGTGATAAGATAACACAAATCTGGTAATTGTCAATGCAATCACCCAATTATAATTGGAGTGACAGATTTATTACAAAACTATTAATTATATTTGATTATAATTTGAAAATAAATATAACTTCATTTCTCTTTACATCATATCTAATTTTAGAGTCTATGGTTAAATCATATTCAATTTTAGATTTACATTATTGGTTCATGGAAATAACGTTTGAGTTATTTCCATTCGAACAGAAATGGTTTAACTAAGAAGTATTTTTAGACAATAACTCGTGTTTAAGTGTATTGATGTCTCTTAAACTAACTGCACCACATTTTACAAAAAGAAATTTTCTTCTAATGTTATTTTTGTTGGAAAAGGGGGAGGTTAAAAAAAAATTTGAGGGGGGGGGTGTAAAAAAAATTTTTTATGGGGGGGACAATTTTTTCTTCTCAAGATTTAAGAAATTAAAAAGAAAATTTCAATTTATTTTTTTTGGAAAAGGGGGGGGGGGGGGGGGGTCATTTTTTTTCTGCAAGATTTAAAAAATTGTGAATTTTCCAAAGAAAATTTGGGGGTCACAATTGCTAGTTCTTTATGTGCAACATCACAGTGCACAGTGTATTGCACAAAAGCAAGAAATCTTCAATTGAATACAAATCATATAACCTATTTTAAGTTCTTTGAGTACATTTATTCTGTGTTACTTGTACCAATGATTTTGTTGTCTATCATACAAAAATTGTGGAGTTAAGTCCTTCGCTGAACTGGTTATTGTCTCTGAAACATTAGGATGCTAATCCAGCAGAGGCGACATCAATTGAAACTATTTGTATAAAGATTCAAATCCAGAAGAGCTGGATTATCTTGTACACAAGTCCCTTACTTAAGCTTTTCTTCTTTATCATTGATAATTTCATTATGCTTGTGTGTTCCAGTTTTTTGTCAAGTGGACCCATCTGAGTTCCCTGTTTACAATATTTCCATTTGTTACGTTGAAATCTATCAATTCTTGTCTGATTGTAGGTTTGTGTATTTCTTGAATAATATATCTTTAAAGTTGTTAAATTAACTGAAGTCAATGTCCAGTCTACATCGCTATCACCTAATTCTAAGATAATCCTTTGTAGAAGAGACATATCTTATTCCTCAATACACTTCCACAGAGTTTGGGCTATATTTTTTTCATAGCTGTTCATTCAAGTATGTATGTCTTTAAGATTTGTCAATGTGCAGGCTATTATTGTCATTTGATTAGATAAGAGTAGTGATACAATACCAGTATGATTGACACCTGTCATGATCACCAAACAATCAGAGACAAGGGGGGACTTGTAATTAAGACCCCACCTCCTTAAATGCCAATCATATTGACCAAATTACTAATCAACCTCTGACAGTCTTACATAATTAAACAGACCCTTCATTATACATTTCAATACACAATTACTTGACCTCATAATTGAATACACAAATGTATATATTAGGTGTTTGATAAGTCTAAATTGAAAACAACGTTCAAACCTATGATTGCGTTGGATGAAAACTGCAATTTTTATACGTGTGCATGCAAAACAAATTTCTTGGTAGAGGGGTCTAAAAACAGCACAAACAACATTTTCCAAAAGACCAAAAAAGTGAAAAAGTATATTTAAACAAAATGCATTTGACTAACAGGTCGAACAACGGATGTTCTTAAACCCTGCTTACTGCCATTGGCTATTGTCAAATAAACGGATCACATGATGTAACAAAATGGATCTTTATTATTAATTTAATACCAAACAGAAAACAATAAACTTGCGGAAAAGATGGTATACCGCAAACATGAGGTGCAAAAATTTGTACACCATATCCGGATTTCGACAATTAATGTCTCTTCAGTGATGTTAGGAATCGAAACGGAATTTGGAAGGCCATATAATTTACCTCAATTTAGGATAGACTCTTGAATTTGGAAGAGTCGAAATAGGATGAACGGATCATATAAACCTGAAGGCAAATATAATACAAGCCCAAACGAAAAAATATAAATAAGTCTAAATTGAAAACAACGTTCAAACCTATGATTGCGCTGAATAAAAACCGCAATTAGGTGTTTGATATATAAAAATGATAGATTTATTCATTGCCTATAACTTTTGATCTTCACTACATAAAGGGATTCTGTAAATTATGTCTGCAAGATTAATGAATATATCTATTTGTATCCATCCGATTTAAGCCTTTTTCAACTGATTTTGATAGTTTGTACTTATGTTGTACTGTTTTTCGTTAACTGTTTTGTTATAAATTAGGCCGTTAGTTTTCTCAGTTGAATTGTTTCATATTTTTCATGTCGCGGCCTTTTATAGCAGACTTTACGGTATGGGTTTTTCAGTTTACAGTTGCCTATAATTGCTTAATAATAGTTGTCTCATTGACAATCATAACACATCTTCTTATTTTTAAATTAAGGATTAACAAGATCTTTTTTTCAAAAAGGAAGACAAAATATGAAATGTAAATAATTTATAAAAGAGGTCTATATTTTACTTGATAAATCTGTGCAATAATCATCTATAATTAACCAATAATTTAGGTAAGTACACTTATCAGTGATTTGCTTAATACAGTAAGTAAAATTTCAAAACTCTTTAACCCAGGCAAACCACTATTTTTTTTCTAGTTTATTCTTCATCCAATGTCTGTTAACAATTTTAGTCATTTGAATACAAGAAGTGTATTTTTGCATTTAAGAACGAATCCCCATCTCAATAAAATAAGTTTTTTAATTTGTTTATGTTGAAAAAGTACATTTTCAATGCCCTTTTCTGGAAAATATTGAATTATGAATTGAATCAAAATTCACTCTACAACTTATAAACTTCAATGTCATATGATCATGATAATTGTTTTCAAAATCAATAAGCAATTCTTAGAGTTAAAATAGTATACCTGTGTTTCAACTTACAAATACCCCAAAGCAACCTTTATAGATTACTTTTTTTGAGACAACAAAGTTCTGAGCTTCCAGTCTATCTGTTTGTCCCATGTCCTACAAGGATAATTGATAAACTTTATCAGAAGAATCTTTGTTTTGTAATTTTTTCTATTTCAAAAGATATAAACTGCTCATTGTCCTGGCATTTCTGCAGTGAGACAAACACTACAAAAATTGAAAAAAGTACAAGAAAGAGCACTCACTTCATTTACCAGGATCACAATAGCACATATGATGATTTACTTTTGAAATAAAAAATGCCATCTCTTAAAGTAAGACGCCTAAGAACCATGACAATAGAGGTATTTAGAACAGTAAACAAGGAAAATCCAATATACCTACATGATCTTATCAACATTAAAGAAACAAAATATTCTTTCAGATATCAAAACTTAGCTGAAATGCCTACAATTAGATCTACAAGGTTTGGCTTGAAATCATTCAGATATTCTGCAGCCAAACTATGGAATGAGTTGCCAAACCACTTTAGAACTGAAACATCATTTACACAATTCAAGAGTTTGATAAACTCATGGAATGGCAAGTCATGCAATTGCAATGCATGTGCTTAGTATTTATTTTTATGTTTTATGTTACAGCTTTGAAACATAATAGTGCTGCTTATTATAATTCCACTCGTTTTTTGTCTCGCCTTGGTGGAGCCAAAAAGCGAGACATAGGTATGCTGTTTCCGGCGTCGGCGGCGACGGCGGCGGCGTCAACAATGTATTAGTTTGTGATTAGGTATAGTTCATGGTGAACCACTAGTGGTAGGTCAATGATATTTGGTATGCAGTTGTATTAACATTGGCACATCTCATTACCATGGAGATTATTTGGCCCCGCCCCCTCAGTCAAGGTCTATTGACTTTGAAACTTTTCATAGTTCACATGTATTAGTTTGTGATTAGGTCAATTTATGGGGAACCACTAGTGGTAGGTCAATGATATTTGGTATGCAGTTGTATAAGCATTGGCATATCTCATTTCCATGGAGATAATTTGGCTCCGCCCGCTTAGTCATGGTCTATAGACTGAAAATTTTGCTAAGTTTACATGTATTAGTTTGTGATTAGGTCAGTTCAAGGGAAGGGGAACCATTAGTGGTAGGCCAATGTTAATTGGTGTTCAGTTGTATAAGCATTAGCACATCTCATTTCCATGGAGAATATTTGGCCCCGCCCCCTCAGTCATGGTCTATTTACTTTGAAACTTTTGCTTAGTTTACATGTATTAGTTTGTGATTAGATTAGTTTAAGATGAACTGCTAATGTTAAGTCAATGATATTTGGTATGCAAATTTATTGGCATTTGAAGTGTCGTTTCCATGGAGATTATATAGTCCCACCCCTGATCATGGTTCATTGACTTTGAAACTTTTACATAATTTACAAGTTAATGTTTGTGTTTAGGTTTGTTTAAAGGGAACGACTTATAATAAGTCAATGGTATTTAGTATGCAGTTGTATTAGCATTGGCACATCTCATTCCATGGATATTGTTTAGCCATGTACCTTCAGTCATGGTTCATCGACTTTGAATATTTGCATAACTTACATGTTAAAGTATTGCTATTTTAATTTCAACATTTGCATTATCAAAATTACAAAAAGGCGAGACATATCTCTGTGATAACAATTTATGTGTTTTATTTGTTTAGCGTTTTATAATTTGTGATTGCTGTGCATAAGTGTTTTATATTGCTGCTTTAATGTTTCTTTTAGCCTAGTTCCTATGCATGCATATAATGTGTAGTATTTAAATTAGTTCAGCCTTGCCTAACTGTGCATGACATATATGTTTTATGTCTTTTATGTTTTAATATCAGTATTGTGTATGTTTATTGTGTAAATGTAACTATGTACTTGTCGGTTATAAAAGCCCAAAGAGCTTATGTTATTTTTTTGTGACATGCCGACTTTATATAAAGCTTTTGATTTGATTTGATTTGATTTGATGATATTTGAATTCATTTTTCATTGGAATTTTTCATTTCAGATGGTACGTCATATCATTTTACATTTTTCTTTTCTTCCCCTGGAAGTATACTAACTACACGCTCTATTGTATCTGATAATATAGTATATTCTGTTTGGAATTGTTAATATAAAAAAGAAGATGTGGTATGATTGCCAATGAGACAACTCTCCACAAGAGACCAAATGACACA